ACTTAAAGTGAACAGTTTAAATCAATATAGACTACATATTGCAAATAACTGTTTGCCTCAATATATATTTTTTCACTTCATGGTCAAAATAGTACATCTTTTTTGTGCAGAAGTATGAGACTGCTTCTTAATATTATCAATGGTTGTTGTAAAAAAACAAAAGGAGCATTTCCGTCAGCTACTGACATGAAGTGTGGACTGTAATGTGGCATTAAAAAAAATATTATATTTCTTGCAGAATAGATTAGTGCGAAGTCTGAGGGTTACAGTTTGGAAACTGTAATGGGAGACACTGATGTTTCCATTAAATAATAAGTGAAATTAAAATTTAACATTAATAAGTTCATTCATGGTTTGCACCAGTGGTAACATCCAGTAGTTTAAACGATGCAGTAACAAATGTAATAATTTGACCCGACTTGGTTTTGATGCATCCGCTGATAATGATAACAGAGATTATATTGAAAACTTTTAATGATCTTTACTTTTTTCCAGTACACATTTAAAATAACTTCTTACTCCTATTATGAAAACAAACACATTGGATCATTAAGAGGTCCACTGGGCTCTCCACACCTTTAGGTGTGAAGCTCATTAGCCGGGTGACTGACTGTGAAGGTCTGCAAGGGAAATGTTCACACGTTTTCCTTAGTGTCAACTGATAACATCAGTGAAGTTAGATGTGATAAATAGAGGGGAAACAAAGCAACAAATTGCAATATGATGCAACAATAACAAGTGTTTCCCATTTGATTTATTACTTTGTTTTCTGTCACAGCTTTAAACTTTCTTATACAACTTGGAATACATGAGGGAGCTCAGAACAAAACAACTTAACAAAAGTTGATGATAATCGGAATGATTTTGGGGAAAGTTCAAATCCTTGTGCTCAAGTTTTGGTTTTTATTTTTTGGAAGATTCCAATGGATGCCATTTCTGACCAGTCTTTTTCACTCTTTCTTACTGCTGAAATGCTCAGAGATTAGCTCTTATTAGAGTTCCTTAATCCTAACCTCTCTAACCTTAGATTACTGTTTAAAATTTATTGAAAATAATCTAAAACAGAGGAAGACTTTAGACTCCTTTATTGTCCATTAAACTTACATAAAATGGAAATTTTGCTTTGGTAATGGCACAAAGACACAACACAAACACACCTCACAGTCGACACAAAAGGAAAAACATAATAAATGTATGTATAAATGATAAAACAAGATATGTGAAACAAGATCAAGTCATATTACTCTAAGCATGTCATTCAGTTAAATATTAAAAACCATTTAAAATTTACCATACTACTGCTAAGAAGAGCACACAGAACTTCTACACAAAGTTACAATTCACTGTGTTACCATGTGAAATTAAAAATCAGTGGAATACTACTAGCAGACTTTTAGGGAACACATAAGCTTATCTATTCTCAGTTACTATACAGTTCTTTATTTAGAATAGCCACAGCTGATGGAACAAATGACCGCTTATAGCCATTCTTCCTTGCCATTGAGACTTTAAATCTATGTCCAGATGGCAGCAACTGGAGAGCACAGTAAAGAGGGTGAGTAGGGTCTAGATTGAGTTGATGTAACTTCTTTTTTAGGGCCCACATATACAAATGTGAAAGTTGCAGCTGTTTAAGTCCAATAATCTTTCCGGCCTGGTTGATGATCTGTCCCAGCTTATTCTTTTGTTTGACAGAGAGGTACCCATACCATCACACGATGTTAAATGTCAGCACACTCTCAGTCAGGGACTTGTCGACCATGGACATAGTGCGCTGACTGGTGTTGAGGCCCCTGAGTCTTCTCAGGAGAGCTAGGCGCTATCTACCTTTTTTAAATGTGTAGTCCACATGGTCTTGAAACTGGAGGTGAATGTCTATAACTGTCCCGAGGTATTTAAACCAGGAATTAATATCTTTTCCTATAGTGAAATTGGATATGGATTTTTTCAGTCAACTTTAACCAGAACTTTTGGTATATCAACCGGAAGAGCATCAGGTAGAAGGTTTGTCTTAGTCATGGTCTTGTAAGGTCCCCATAACACCAAAGTCTCCTTCTTGAAACTCCTCCTCTTCCTGCTGCTGGAACCATCTATCAACAAGACAACTTTGTATTTCCTTGTTGCTAAAAATGTGCTATATAAACAAAATGACTTTTACCTTAATCCTTCCTCCGTTTATCAGAGGTTTGGTTGCTGGGCAGCAGCCTAAGTGGGGAGACACAGACTTCCCTCTCCTCAAATATTTGTTCCAGGGGAATCCCAAGGAGTTCTCAGCCCAGCTGAAGCTATCCTGTGTCTTCCTCTGGGTCTTATCCCGTTGGGTCAAGGCCAGACCACCTCACCAAAGGAGTGTCCAGGAAAAAACCTGGCCAGCCCGAGTCACCTCAAAAGGTTCTTCTCAACCTGGAGAAGCAGCGCCTCTTTGAGCCCCTCATCCCAGGCTAATTCCTTTACAGTCCTGGAGCAATAGTGACACCAGCTTCCTGTATTCATGGCTCGACAATTTGAAGTTTTTCATCTGACAATATAACATTGTCAATAATGTCTGGCTGGTCTTTGCAAACATTGGTGTTAGGGTTCATTGTTAAATCTTAATTTAATGTTGGTCTTAAGATGATGGTGAATGACGATCGTTTTGCATTCATTGTTTATAAATTTAAAAAAAAAAAACAATTTAGAGAGCCTATCTATCACCAAAGATGGAGGTGTTCAATAAACACCTCCATGTCCTTGTCAACATATCAACAAAGGTGGGGCCTCAGCTTCCAGAGTGCAGTATCAGAGCAACAGCAGGGTGTCTTAAAGGAAGTCTCAGTTGCTCTTCTTTGATTTGCAGACGATGGATGAATCTGAACTCTGCTTTCCAGATGCATTTAACTCCTCCTGTAAAAAGAAATTGTCTCTTCACTCAGTAAATACTTTGATTTACTTTGGATTGTTCTTCATGTCTCTGGTTCCTACTGCTCTTAACTTTTTGGTCATCATCTCCATTTCACATTTCCGGTAGTTCTATGCTGCTTTCTAAAAAGGGCAATATTGCGACTTATAAATATTTCTGAAAACATATTGTAAAGCTGCAAGATGTAATAATAAGAATAAGAATAAGAATACATTTGTTGATGTTACTCTTCCAGGAAACTCCATTCTCCCACCAACTTCTTACTGCTCTCTCTGGCTATCTCCGATTTTCTTGTGGGCCTTTTCATGTTTTTTCATATCCTGGTTATAAATGGCTGCTTGTTTCTTGGTGACCTCCTGTGTGTTCTCTACTATGTATTAAGTGGAATTTTAACCTCTGCATCAGTAGGCACCATGGTGCTCATTTCACTTGACCGTTATGTGGCCATCTGTGATCCTCTACGCTATTCTACAAAGGTTACCAAAAAAAGAGTTCAAATTTGTCTTTCTCTGTGCTGGATCTTCTCTGTGGTCTATGTCCTGATTCTGTTAAGGACATAGACCTTAATAGGTCTATGTTAAGGTCTAACATGAATTAAATTTCCCTGGTTTCAACAACCAGGGAAATTTAATTCATGTTCTGTGGAGTGTGTGGTTGAAATTGGCTTCATTGAAAATGTCACAGATCTTATGTTGACCTTTATTATTTCCATTACTGTTTTAATAGTACTATATGTAAGAGTGTTTGCGGTTGCCCTGTCTCAGATTCAGACCATGCGCTCTCACATTAAACAAAAACAGTCCAGAAAGGCAAATGTGAAGAAATCTGTGCTAAATCAGCCAGTATTCTTGGGGTCGTTGTAGTTTAATTTATTGTCTGCATCTTCGAATATTACTGTGTCACACTAATTGGTAAAAGTTCACTATTGAACACTTTGACCATGACCTTTCTTCTATGTCTGTTTTATTTTAATTTCTGTCTGAACCCTCTGATTTATGCCTTATTTTATCCCTGGTTCAGAAAAGCTATGAAAATTACATTTACATTTCAAGTGCTAAGGTCCGGTTCTTCTGGTGCCAACATACTTTCATAACATAAAGAGCAGTCTGGATGAGTTATTCTTGGTCACCATATGTAATTTTGCACATAATTAAGTAAATGACAAACATAACAAATTAGTGTCAATGATTTATCATAAACCTTCTCTTTTTTGCAACTGAACTTAAAACTCCAAGCAGTGAATTTGTGTTAATGGTAAATAAGCAGAAAGTATTCTAACTGCATTTTAGAAGATCATCATAATGTGGTAATTTATAGCATTTAATAGATGTAGATAAGTTCAAAAAGGTAATAAAGCCAACAGCTGCAGGATGTTCTGTTTATCTCCACCCCAGACTGAAGGACACAAATCCTGGGTTTGAACTTAACAGTAGCTGGACCAGGGAGCATAGAGTGTGGATGAGGAGTGTGCGTCTGTGTGTGTGTGTGTGTGTGTGTGTGTGTGTGTGTGTGTGTGGTGTGTGTGTGTGTGTGTGTGTGTGCATGCCTATACTTATGCATACAATGTTTCTGTATATGAATATTCAATAGTGGATGTTGGGAGCCACAGACAGACAAGAATGGACAGTGTATACACACACACAAATGCGCATGCACGACCATGCACAAATGCAAAATGCAAATCAAATGCAATTTGAAGCCCGTCGATCATCCTGACTGATGCACATGGGCAGATATTTTAGACTTTACGCAAATATTTAATCTTTAATCTTTATTAAGGACAGTGCACATTAATGAACAATCAACACTACTGTATAGACTGTAAATGAGCCAGATTATAGCATAATTGCTAATTTCCATCTGTAGTCCTAGACAAGGAGACCCAAACAACAAAAAGAAATTATAAACATACAATCAAGAATTAACAAACATTTAACAAACATTAACAAACATTCACAAAAAACACAGTAAAAAGTTAGTTAAAATGATGACATGTCTGGGAAGTTTTAATAAACAGTTTCAGGTGTTTTTTAAAAACGCTATAGGTGGAACACTCTCTGATCCTAGCCGGCACACTGTTCCAGAAGTGACTCCCTCTGACTGATAGAACCCTTTGCCCAAATGTTGTTTTTCTGTAAGGGATCTCCAGGTCTCCTCTGGAAGACGCCCTGGTGCCAAGACCTCGCTCAGCTCTTTGCTTAAAATATATAGCAAGCGGAGGTGGAGTGAGTCCATGAAGAACTTTGTAGATAATTTAATTTAATAGAATTCATAGAAACATCAGTGAATAAGAAAGGCTTTAAATAATTAGACTTTTAAAAACAATTATTTTTTTTTAAACATTTTTTACCGGATGCTTTAACTACGGGCTTAAAGTCCATGATGAGACTCTCAGAGCTCTGCTGAGCTTTCTTTTCTCATAATGGAAGAAGAGGAACTCTGCTTTCCCAAACTTCTCAACTATTCTTGCAAAAAGCTAAAGCATTCTCACTCTGAAGCTTTGCTAATTTCCTTTTTATTGTGTTTCATTTCTCTGACCAATGTAACCCTGAATCTGCTGGTCATCATATCCATCTCTCATTTCAGGTGACATTTTACTTTATATATAATTATATATAATGCTTTAGAGTTTGTTGTGGTTTCACCTGACTTATTGTGGGTTCAACAATTTATACAATAATCTTGACAAAAGTAACAAGTTTTCTTTACTTTTCCAGGAAGCTCCACAATCCCACCGACTTTATTCTTCTGTCTCTGTCAGTTTTGTTTGTAGTATGTCATTTAAGCTTCAAATGTGCATCGTTATCTAACAAAAATTAGTAGCCAGAAACCTTTTATGGAGTCAAGGAAATATTGCAGATGAAAAATAAAAACATAATAATTTCCCCCCTCAACCTTTCTCTATGGGATCGTATGAAACACATTCATGTTTTTCAAAGCAGTTTAGAACACATTGTGGAATCTTTTAAGATCAGACCCTTGGGCTTTAATGTCAATTTCTCTATGGTTTCCCCCAAATAACTTCACAGAGCTGATATTTGATTCGCTAAAAATAGTTTCATTTATCTTCTTTTCCTTTAATGTTGGATGACTACTCCAAAATGTCTCACCAAACGTCTCAGACAATGCAGTGAGCTTCACCTATGATGCTTGCTCTACTTCTGCATGGGAGCAGACAAAATGGAGAGCTGAAGCTAAATTGGTGAAGCAGAGTCAAGATAACAAAGTAGAAAACTCTTCATGGACCTTTTTCAAAAATTTAAGAATTTATCGTATTTGTCCTGTTATTGAAAATAATTTCTCCTCCACCAGACTATATCACTTCTCAAAAACACATAAGTCTTTCATCTCTAAAAGTACAGAATCTATTCCACATTTCAGCACATTTCATTATGAGCCCCAGGTGATTTCTTCATTGTATCAATACCCATCAGGACTGAGGTTGTCAGACTGTTTTTCCATGAAACCCTATAAGACAACCAAATGTTAGTTATAGCTGTCCTTGTCGTAACATTAAGAGGTCAAATACGTTACCTCATTTTTACTCTACAAACCAGGTGAAGGAAAATTAATGATGTTTTTGTGGAGTTCATAATAATGTAGTATAAAGTTATTCAGCAGTTAAATTTTCATTAAGATGGAAAAAAAACAATCCTGACTGACTTTCATCAAACACAATTTCAATTGTCAATAAAATATCCCAAGATGTTCTGAAGTGATAACATTAAATGTTTTTTTTATCCTGACGTTTTTCAGTTGTCCTTGTTTTAAACATGCTTTAGGAACATTTGTTCTAATTAATTAAGCAATTACAAGTCTTTAAATATACAGCTAGTGAAATAATAAAATCAAACTGTTGTAGATACCATTTTACTGTGGAAGTTTAAATAACAATTATTGTAAATTGATGGAGTCATTAACATATTGATTTTAAACACAATTTGACAAACTTTCAAATGCTTTAGTTTAATTTGGATTATTATTATTATTATTATTATTATTATTATTGTTATTATTATTATTATTATTATTATTATTATTATTATTGAAACTGGACTGGATTGTAACGGACTGCAAAAGATTTACTTGAATAGAAATAAACTGAACCAAGTGTATTGCAAAGTTTCCCAAAGAGGAAATGTGACATAAGTCTCACATTGAAATTTAAAACAACTTAATTCAATTGAAGAATGGCTATAAAATAAATATTCCCTGATCATAAATATTTTTTAGCGCTTTTGTCTTGTCATATTTAAGAAATGTATCAATAATTAAATCAGTTTCACTTCTGTCATCTGAATTTATAATAAGCAGACTGATCATCTTTGGTTAAATGTGAGAAAAAGCTAATTTAGGGATTCCCTTACCTAATAAGTCCAGGCTACTGAGATGAAGGCGGGGATTATGTTCTCATTTTTTGGCCGGGCAGACCTGCGTCCTCTCACAGTCTGAGTGCACCTCTAAATAAAAGATGGATTTAAGATTGGCATCGAATGTTTAGTATGCAGAGTTAACTAAAAACAGCATCTGCATCAATGAGAATGTATGTTAGGTTTTATGTGAGTCTATTTACATGTAAGAAGCTTACCTGGATGCAATTGTCCCCTTGTCTGACACACAGCTCTACTTTGCAGTGCAAAAAAACATTGCCATTACTGCCAGTAAACTGGAAAGTATTGAAAGAAAAAATGGTGGACGTTCCCAGTCCATTTCTTTCCACCGCTACTGTTGGGTCTTTAGGATTAGGACAGCTGCTCGAAAAATAGGGAACCAAGAAGTCAGGGATTGGGTGGGATCAACGTTGATTTATTTTAGTCTTGTGAGCATCACTGTATGTCTCACCCATCGATAATGAGATTATATCTTAGGCCTCCAGTTGGCAAAGGTTGATTTGTTGCCGAGCAGGAATCGGTTACCACAGCAACCCTGTCTTCCTCCAGTCCGTATGTCTTCAGCTCTACCCAGAGCCTCTGGTTCAGGTCAATGTCTGCATCAGAATCGATGGGTTTTGTGCGGTCGCGGCTGGTGTAGGCTTCCATGGTCAGATTGTATTTCCATTCACCAGAAGAAATGTGCTGGATCACAGAGCTGGAATTCAGACATTTCATAAGTTAAAGGTTTTTGTTTTCAGTGAAAAGCAGAGTGAGACCCCTGGTGTCAGTACTCTTCATGCAGCACATACCTTTGTCTGAATCGGATGCTCAGTGTCTTTATGTCTGGTTGGCTGTAACGACAGGAGAAGTCCATGTGCACCTTGTCATGCCGAGTGATCAATCCAAACATGGGGATATTCTGAGTCACGATAGCGTTCTTGTAAATAATTTGGCTGTTGTTTGCCTACATGTTCACAGGAACATAAATTATGTTATTGTTCTGTGTATTTCCTGTAACAAATTAGCCTTTTTACATTTGTTTTATTTATGCAAGGCAAGGCAAAAGTGTCTGAAGTGATTTGCTTCACTTGTAGATCAATGCTGTCTGTCATTCTTTCTGTTTTCAATTGACAACTCAAACTATAACATTACAAAGTGATTGTGTTTTTAATTACAAATTTTTTAACTGGATTCAAAAAACAAAAACTATATTCTGAATTTGACTTTAATATTTAATTGTTATCTAGAAATTGTTCTGCCTGCAAAAGTGTGAGTTATGGCTTAGGAGCAGTTTCTCTACACCTATCATTACTGTACAACATAGACACATTTAGTCTCCATGGAAATGTCAGACTCTTGGCTAGAGACCTACACAAAGCAATTGAGCATGTGAGTTGAGCAGAAAGCATTTGAGTTTATGTACAAGTGTAAAAAGATATTGTAGGGAGCTCTCATAGTGCCAAAATATAGCATACATTTTAATGGGTTTAATTTGTGTGTGTGGGGGGAGAGGGTGCAACAGTAAAATTTGACATATTTTATGGTGCCAAATTATGTGTCAAAGTAAAATGTGCCAAATTTGTAAATGTTCTCTTTTTACACTGGACTTTAACAAAAAATAAAGACAAAAAATAAAGAAAAACACTTCAACTGTTGTCAAATATAACTATTATAACTGGAAAAAAAAAATAAATGTGGATGTGTCAGAAAAAAAAAACAACAGACATGTAAGTCGAGTAAGTAAAACCAAAGAGAATGCTCAGACTAAATGGTCTAACCTGCTCCTGGGGCAAAATGCCCAAGTATATTTTAATAAGACATTTACCTGAATCAATTTTTGCACAGTTAATGTGAATCTATGGTTTCCAAAACTGTGTAGAGATGAAATTTTGAACAGATGTCATTTTCGAATAGGCCAATTTTGCTGACAATTAGATTTAGTAATTTATTGTTATTCAAAGTTTAAAGGCAAAACCTGTTTGTCCCCTGCTTCCAACATTTCTGTATTTCCTTCCAGTTTTTTTTTTTTTTTTAAGCATTTGATAAGAAATTTGTTTCCTGAGATGATACCTACCTGGACCACTGTACCACAGGTATCCTGACTGCTGAAACTGAATGTCACCAAATGGGTCAAGTTATCCAGTTGACCTCTGCAGGACTGGTCGTTGAGGTGTAAGACAGAGTAGTTGATGCCTTTGTCCTCTAGCAGGCAGTTAGCCAGAGTTACTGTGGCAGCTTTGTCTGCACAGACAATCGGCTCACCTGAACATCAGAACAATAATGAGTACTTCAGATTAGTCAACCTCTTTAACTTTCTGGAAGTGTCAGAGTTACGTTGGAAAGACCAGAAAATGAGACAATCTGAATGGGCGCCATGCCCAGCAGAATTTGACATTCTAAAATATATTTGTTCAAAGGCAATCTGCCAATTACAACTCAGTTCTTGTTAAAAAGTCATCTTATCCTGTATAATTTTGGAGGCATTTCTTAATGGAAACATTATCATTGTGAATGTGTTTTTTTGATGTTAGCGAAACACTGACGACGTTTGTGAACATTTGTGATGGAAATCACAAATGTTACTGCCGTGACATTCAAGCACTAATATGTTTTATGATTATTTTGTTTATATTTTCCTGCTTCTGGTGCTTCAGTTTGACAGTACTTTGACTTTTGCTTGCTGCATGTTCCTACATAGATGCTTCACACAGTCACACCCACTAAGCCACACTGCTCCTGTAATACAGCACAGCATTAGGTCCACTGGTATGACACAGTGATCTAATGATTCAATTCTACTGACTATACCAAAAGAGTTCTTTTGAAACTATTTAATGTTTTTCAGGACCTTAAAATCTTTAGGTTTCTTTAGGTTTAAATCAAAAACTTGGTTAAGTGAGTTTTTTAATTATGAAGACTCACCAGTGTTTTACTCCTTAAACTATAAATATTAATACCATGTGGATTGTGAGGAAAATGTTCTCCTCATTTTAGCTGAAATAGTGAGATGCTTCTTGTAGACATTTACCAGATTCTGATATCTGTTTGGGAAAAATGATTCCAAATAAATCATTTTTATTTGCAATAAATATGATATCCTAATTTACTCCTCAGCATAAATTTGAGATTTTAAATAAAGTATTAAAGGTATTTTGAAAATATTTTTTTCGGTTTTTATGTTGTATTTTATTTTACTTGAAATTTGCATTATTTTTCATGTCCATGTGTTTAGACACTGGTGAACAGCATAATGTTATAGGGTTTTTGAATTTGAATTTGAAACCGCAATGATTACCACCAAAATAATTTTTATCTTGAAACAATATTTATGTTTTTAATAAGAAAGTAAATTTCCTGTCACATTGCTTTTGTATTTGCAGAATGATTTGAAAGGTTCTTGTTGATATACCTCAGAGCTGACTTACCAAAGGAGTTTGTTGGTTTGTACTTGGATGCAAAAAGACCCCTACAATGACAGCGGGGCTTCCTGCTTGAGCTGTCCACACCACAGAACTCATGTGAACTGCAGAACATGTCCTGACAGCCGTCCTGAGGAACAGCTGTAAATGCACAAGCGTGAGGAAAACAGAAAAGCTTTTAAAATGGTGTCTATAAGTGCATGAAGAAAATGCAGGTTAAACTGTTTTACAAACACTGGCAGAAGTTAATTCCTAAAACATTCAAAGGAAGGTTGAACTGTTTATTAGACTGTAAGCTTAGTTCTGCATTTTTATTCTAGTATTTCTGAGCCTATGTTTAAAAAAAAAAAAAAAAAAAAAAACGAAAAAAGTATCTCCAGCATTTTTAGAGCTCACAACACACAGAGAAAAGGACAGCCTTACGACAACTGATATGTGATGTCCAGTCCTCCACTGTTACATTGCTTTATGTATTTGCAGACCTCAGCGTAACGCTTCAGGAAGTGGCATGTCAGGCCGTCCACTGCAGGGTATTTGCACAGGGTTTGAATGCAGGCCTGAATGAAGGGCTCCGGGTCAACATATGAGTTACAGGCAGTGAAAGAACCCTCTTGCAGAAGACCACACCTTTTCCAGTGGTTCAAAAAAATGGGAAATGCACAATAATTTTTAAGAGATGAGATAACTCAGCTCTTATTAAACAAAACTTTAGATATATGAAATGTACATTCACCATTTTGCAGTAGTGTTGCAACTGCTTGTACTGTCAGAATCATCTTCATATTGAGTCTGGCAACTTTGGAGCAAAAAAAAGAAGATAAATAAATATTAGGGTTGGACTACTGTAATGCCCTCCTCGTTGGGGCCTCTGGTAAAAACTTGCAAAAGCTGCAGCACATTCAGAACTGTGCTGCCTGGGTCCTGATGAGGAGGCACAAATATGACCATATCACTTCTGTTCTCAACTCACTTCATTGGCTACTGATCAAATATAAAATACATTACAAACTCTGTCTGCTCACCTATCAATGGATCCATGGAACTGCCCCTGCTTATCTCAGTGAACTCCTCTCACCGCACGCTACCTCTCGAAGTCTTCGTTCCTCCACTTCCTTTTACTGCCTGCATCAACCTAAGACCAAACTTGCCACTATGGGAGATAGGGCTTTTCAGGCAGTAGCTCCGTGGCTCTGGAATGCCCTTCCAGAGCCCCTGAGGGCCCCACAAGGTGTGGAGGCCTTTGAAATAGGTCTTAAGACTCACCTTTTTAAACTGGCCTTTTAAAATTGTAAGTTTTACTTCAAATTATTAGTTTTAATTTTTATTTTTGTACCACTTGATGTGAGATGTATTATTGTATGTTTTATTGTAAGCTCTACAATTTATTCTTGTCTCTGTAGCACTTTCAGATTTCTTTGAAATATAAGGTGTGTTACAAATAAAATTTATTATTAAATTTATTATTATTAGGGTGTTCCCCTTTGTACTATCACACAGTGCAGTAATTGTGTCAGACTACAAAGCTGATGAATGAAGCTGAGTTCTGAGGAACCATGCATTGTTACAGTTATTAAAAACAGGTTGTATCCCACCCTCAATAGACCAAAATGTGTTCCTTTTCCCAATATTCCTATGGATATTATGAATGAGTTCTTACCCTGTGTCACTGTATACAGACGGTTTTTGCTCATTTACAGTTGAGCTTGAATCACCACATAAACCCTCCACAGGAACTTCGCTTGATCCTGGAGAACAGGAGAGAGTTATGAGAAAGCATAACTCTTTCAAATCATTCTGCTGAAATCATCAGTTCTATCATGATCGTCTGAGAGTGAGCACTTTTTCAGCAGTAGGAAGCAGAATTAGTTTGGGTTGATGAAAGTGTATGTCTTCAGTGTGTGTCAAGTCATCCAAGCCTTTCCTCTGAAAATGATTAAATGATTAAAAAAAGGAAATAATTGTCCTCTTCAATTATTTCACACAATTCTGCACTGGGTGTCATTTTACAGCATCAAAATAAGAAATTTCTTTACAGAATTTAAAACTGATTTCTTAACTATGAGAATAACTCTATACCTTTTTCATACAAAACCACCATCCTTTAACAGTCAAACATGGAGGTTCTGTAACTTATTATTATTATTTTTTTCTGTGTGATTAAAGTGAAAGATTTTTGGTCAGCTGTTTATTGCTGGATAACGTCTACAGAAAATGATTGTCTTTTTTTATTCTTAAACATTCTTTTAACATGAATATAATAATTCAAATTTAACAGCTACATAGATGGTATTTTTAAAAAGTAATATATTTTAAATCTCAACTATATTTATTCACATAAATTTGTTTCTACTTATTTTTTTCTTTTGTATATATGTATATTTAAACAATTGTTTCTCTAATTCATTGCTCAGGCTGATTTATCATGCTACTTATGTATATGTATATGTATATATATTTCTAGATAGAGACATATATTTATATACATATGTATCTTTCTATCTATCTGTCGATCGATAGATAGATATATAGATAAATAGATAGATAGATATATGTGTGTGTGGGTGTGTGTGTAAGTCCTGTGCTTTGTTGGGTTTTCATTCACTGAAGAATGAAAACAGAACAGACACAAATCAATAAATCATCCTCAGCTTTCAGTCACGACACCTTACCTGATAGATGAATTATTGCAGTATGGCCATCAAAGACAACAGACACTGTGAAGTTGGAAGTTTCAAACTTTGCATTCACTCCGGTGTGGCTCTTGGTGAGCACCACACTGTGGACTATCTGGGGCGTTGCATGTACTATCAGGAATTCATCATTTACCTTCACCACAAGAGAGGAACAGAGAGAGAGGACACATTCCCTCATTTCGTTGTTTGCTCTTTTAGATACCAACTGTTTATCAATTCAAATTCAAATTAAAAATAAAAAAATCAGTCCAGCTGCACAGCATACAAATTAAGACCAAACAGTTTTCCAAAAAAAAGAAAGAAAGAAAAGACAATTTCTCACAGTAAGGCTGCAAAAGTTGAAAGATTTGAAAGTTTGTCTTTTTATTAACTGCTTAAGATTATCTATGTAATTTTTGCAAAGATCAACTGTTGTTACAGTCAGAAAAGCACATCTACATTAATAAAAACCCTTTAATCCTAGCATCCTTGAAAAAATTATTTCTTTTTCATTGTCTAAATATAATGACACTTCCTTAAAATATATATGTGGTTTCCGAATATGTTACACATGGACTGTACACAAACAGACAGAAAGAAAACAAAGTAATTTCTAAAGTTGCTCACCTTAACTTTGCTGCCTTGCTCTAAGGAAATCTGAGGACCTTCCCTGTCCAGCTCTAGGATGACTCGGTCCAGAAAACTCAGATCTTTACGTCGTCTTTCCTTAAAAATTCCCAGCACATGGAGACCTGGGAGAGACGAAGACCTCAGCAGAGAGTAGCCACAGCGGTCAGAGACAGACTGAAGTTTGCTAGTGAAGCCTATGACGGTGGACCCGGTTACAGAACAAACAGTGTTCATGGCACAGCTGGAGGGAACAAGGAGAGACAGATCATTCCAAACACCGAAACCATCAAGGTCATGTATGTATGATTATCATATTAATGAAAAACTCAGTTTAAAAGTTCATAAATGCACAATATTAAATCTATATACTATTCAAAGAAATGTTGAAAAATCCCTGGCAGAAGTATGTGAATCTGGTTGCTTTTTATTTCATTGTTTTTATATTGCATTGTTGATTTTTTTTTTTTTTTTAGTCATAAAGCACTTTTGGTAACAGTTTATTTGAAGGGTTGTGAATAAGACTGTTATTACACTGTCATAAACATAACACCTGTTACGAATATGGAGGCATCTTCATCAATGTTACAGCTGAATGAAGTGTCATTCTGTAAATAAGGACACTTTTAATGCAAAGTTTGCTCTTTTAATTGACTTTTAATGCAACTTTGCATAAAAAAGGTAATTATTTACCAAATAATGCTATGCTGATACTTTTAATGCACATTTGCCTTACAAGTGCAATTATTTACCGAAAGACACTTTTTGATAAACAGTCGTGAACATTCATGACTCCTTCATGTTCATGACAGTGTCACGTTAGTGCTATGCACAGCTTTTCAAATAAAATGTTACAGCACTTTTGTATGTTTTCTCTGTGAAATATGCAACATATATAAAAATTTAACAGTATTTCCCTACATTTTTCTACAATCTTTCAAACTAATTTCTCATGAGAAACAAAACACTTTGAAATAAAACAATGTAACATCTAAGAACCCAGGAGTATGAACAATTCAGGGGTTTATTGTATGTAAATATCTGGTTTTAAATGTATACCAAAAGATCCGTTTGAGAAGCATTTCCTTTTCTCTGGATGTTTACCTGCCATCTCCCTGGCAGTGCTCCAGGGGGCCACAGTGGCTGACAGCTGTTGCAGCTCCGCTAACATCACATGTCACTGTAGAACAGATTCTTGGATCATTCACTGTTATGTTGGTCTCATAGACCAGTCCTGGGGAGATAAGAATAAAATTTTAAAAATAACTATTTTAAAATCCTACATTTTTTTCATTTTATGTTTTGTACCTAACCTGAAAATCTGCATCCGCTCACATCAGTAATAACACCACTGTTTGTCTCAGAGGTCTGGAAAGTATGTTTAGAAACAGTGAGTCCGTTAACCTGAGCATCAGCCACCTACAAAATAACAGAAAAGCATGTAAACAAGACCAAACCGTCTGCAGGCTGGCCTCTGAGTTCTCTCTGTTTAAATAAAACAACTTATTTTGAATAAATAAAAGACATTCATTTAAATCGGGAATTATTATTTATATTTTAGTGATAAACTTAAAATGAGATCTTAATGTGTGTCCAGTTTTCCGATTTTTATGATACAGCGCCAACATACCACATTAACATTGGTGTATCCAGAATATGTCTTGATTGCCAGGATTGATTGGGCCCCAAAGTTTCCCAGTTCCACCTGTTCAACCTGACAACACGTATTTAGTCGAAGAGTTTTTTTAAACAAAGTGTCTTAATTTAAAGCTTATACCTGGCAGTGACTTACTCACCTGAGACTGCTGACAGTCCTTTAGTGGGATTACATTCACACATTTTCCAGCGTATTTCAGGTTTGGCAGAAGCTTGTGAACTCCGGATCCAGTTGGTATTTCTCTCCTGAGCACAGACAGGCCGCCCCTGTCGGCCATTCCACCGGACATCAGAATGCAGTCGTTTTGGATGCCAGGTTGGTATAAACCCTTAAAGCAAACTGCAAATCTGTCTGCGTTGAAGCCCACCTGTCCAACAAGAGGAGAAACAATGAATGATTGATTATGATAAACTTATTAGAATTAGAATTGAGAGAAAAGTCCTTTTTTTTAGTGGCCCTAATCCTCGTGCACGCTTAGATAATCTTTAAAATGTAAGTGTGTGAATTATAAATTCAGTACTTTTTCAGTAGTTAATACTTTATTGAGTTTTTCAGGAGGTTTCTTGAAATAAGGAAAATGTCAATGGTCAAACATTTTATTGCATACAATGTTTGTTAGATGAAGTATTTATCTGAAGTTGTTCCATTGTGTCAAAAAAGAGAATCTAAAATCTGTTACTTTATTTTTGTGTACAAACATCAGTCTGTGAAGATGCACATGCTATAAATGTTTGGGAAATTAATTAATCCAAGCAATGGTGTTTTCCTTTAAAATGATATACAATATACTGATCTGTCAAATCAGAAGCTTAGACTAGCTTGCTAGCTTCTGTCACTCTGTGGATTCTTTAACTAAAAAAAACAACATTTAAATTGTTATGGAAGCTTTTTATTCATATTGATGGAAGCAATACTGATGGAGTTTAAAATAGTACTGGCTGGTTGATGTCATGGAATGATCAACAATGTGTGGGAAATATTGAAAGAAGTATTACTCACATACACTTTTTCATATTTCTGACCATAGTAGGTGATGGGGCAAGATGAGATGTTCATCTCTGCAGAGCTGGTAAAAGCCTGATGACTTCCAGCTGCAGCTAATAATGCAGACAAAAACATTTTAAACATGTCATTCAAAATAGTTTATCCATCCCAGAGGGATGGATAAACTAACACCCCCCTCACCTTATAATTCCTTCCAGAGGAAGGAATTCCGACCCACCCACCCCAACCATGGACTGTTTTCCCCCTGGCGTCTGGAAGAAGGTTCTGAAGCATCTTGTGCAGAACAACCAGACTACTGAACAGTTTCTTCCCCCGGGCCATCAGACTGCTTAACGCCACATAACACCCCTCCACACACTCACAAACCAAATCACCCCCCCATGGACATGGTCGATACATGCACTTTAGTTTAGTTTTTTCACAACACTAAATCTGTGTATTCTATGGCACTTGTATTGTATTTTTATTTATGGTGTAGTATAAGGTTTTAGCTCTGCTACACTGGTAGCCAAGTAACGACATTTCGTTGTCAAGATTCACCTTGTGTTTTTTTTGTACAATGACAATAAAGGAAGTCTAAGTCTAAGTCTAAGTCTAAAATATTCATGTTATGAGTGCACAAAATATAATTTTGTTGTTGTTTTATTCATGGATTGCCTTCTCCTACTGATGTCTATCTAATATAGACAAGTATCAAGTGACATGTTTCACACTAACCCTGCATTAGGGACACGGAAATGAAGTAATCAATAAACCATCCAACAAAGGCGTTTTTTAGAATAAATTCATATGGACTCAGGTCGTTGTGTCTGAAACACGAAGCTTTCCTACCTGTCAGCATGCTGAATCCAATCAGGCAGAGCTTAAAGAACATCATGTTTATGGATCTGAAACAATCACAGCAAACACACCTGGAAATTACTTGTCATCCAAAGTATTTCCATTGTAATCCCAGTATGTTTAATATGAACAAAAGGAAGATTCTAATAAAGTTTCATATCTCTAATGGAGCATGACACCAAAACCCTCAATGATCTGCTTAGTGATCTGCATATTTCACAGAGATGTCACTCAAACTATACTGTGTGCCATCCTGACATCTTTTTTTTTATTTTTATAAAGTATTTTAAATAGTTTGAACTTTTTTACAGTAGACACTTCACACCGAGTAAGCTCAGAATGTTTATTTTGTACTCTCTATGATAGATTCAAAAGACTTTATCATTTTGAAGTGAAAGCAAAATTCTATGTGGTTTTCATTTATTTTCTAAAACAAATACTTCAAAAGTCCAAGGTAGGATTTTGTATTTAGATTCTCAGTAACATTACACTACAGGTTTCGATCCCTATGTGTGCATTCAATTTAATGTAGGTCTGTTTACGGTTAAAAAAAAGTTTGATAAATCAGGATGAAATAAAGAAAAATCAAGTAACACCAAGTAACACGGAGAGAAAAGGAGATGTAAAAAAAAAGCATCTTTTAATACTATAAGTGGACAGAACATATTTCACTTTGAATTTAGCTGCTTTGGAATGATGTCATAAATCCAGCCCGAATTCAGCTCATTGTTGTTTAATTCAATAATTGAACACAATCAGGTTGAAGAAGATTTAGGTTAGTAGGAATAAACACAGAAAAATAAATAACTAATAAAGTGTTTTTTGTCTGTTTCTCACCTGATGGCAGGAAAGTTGACCAGCTCAGTGTCTGAAGTGAAATCTCTGGATTGTCACGGGCTGACCTCCGACCCCAGCCCTGCAATGTGAAGGACACACAGCGCTCTGCCTGGTCTATATACCAGGCAGAGCGCTACAGCCCAGCTGTAGATTTCCCTTCCTTTCTTCTCTGAGCTTTTTGTTTTCTCAAACTGGCTTTTGGCAGGGGACATTCCACTTTCAAAACATTGCAATTAAGAGAGACTTTTAGTTGGGGAAGAGGATTATGCTGTGACAATGTTAGGTGTCAAGTTTCATAATGCCATGTTGTGTACGAATTGATCTGATGGTTCTGTACTCTCAGCTGGATTAGCAGAAAGTGTCGCTGGTTATGAATTCTGCTGATGACGAGAACAGAATGGGTTTACAGCTGTGGACCCAGAACTTCGAAAATCAGCTAATAATATCCTCATAAGATTGATGTATACATGGAGCACTTTTGGGCAGACTTATTTTGATATTTCCACATATGCTATTGCATTAATATTTCTGTTGTGTTACGCTGTGTAGAACAGGAACATCAAAGCCTTGAGCATAATTTACGGGACATGCAGTCTGGAATGCTGCAGGGCAGGAATGTGGAGGACAAGCTGTCTGTGATCATTTTACCCAACAAAGAAAACCTGATGAACAGTTCAGGTGTGGTCAAATCATTCATGCAAAACATCAAGAAAGCTTATAACCATAACAAAACCAAACATTAGGAAACATGTCAGAAAAACATGCACTGCCTTCATTTTCACAACAAGGCAGTTCTCAGGCTCCATCTGTGTGTTTGCATGTGTGTGTGTGTGTATCACGCTGCTTCTTTGTTTTGTGTTATTTTACATTTCATATGCATTCAATTTTTAAATTAGTCTTCAGATTGATGACCCCCAACTAAACCTTTAATATAATAATTGACTCAAATGCACTGCAGGGTTTGAATATTTTTACAAATGTGTTAGCTCAAGTTGTGTTCATTTTCGAAAACCATTTCTATGTTTAGATGTTTACATACTTTACATTCATTTGCATACTTCTCATTATTTGTATACATCTATTTTTTTTCCAGGATGGAGAAATGTTATGACTGGAGAGACATTTAAAAGCAAAAGTTTAAATACACACTACTTTAATTTTGAACAAAGACAACCTGAGTCTGTCACAATTAGCGGTAGATGAGGTGGTGAGGGAGACGCGGTGGACCCAGGTTGAAGGGAGAGAAATGGTGATTTAATGATGAAATGACAACATATGCTATTCCAGACAGCACAGGTGAGCAGAGGCAATGGCTCTTACACTGGCTTGAGACTGACAACAGACACAACTTTTGACCAACAGAATAGAAACAGAGACAGGTGGGGTTAAATACTCCAGGGAGTAATAAAAGAGAAACAAGAGACAGCTGGAGACAATCAAGGGGTAGGGAGGACAACACGGAGACTCAATTGAACACAGAAACCTAAATTAATACACAGAAATAAACAAGTCCTCACAGAGTCAATTAAAAAAAGATATTAATCAAGTTCCAAACAAAATATTATGTAGGAAAACATTATTAATCGTTTCTTGAATAAAGCCCCTCGGACTACATGAAGTAGGTTAAATGAGAAACTTGCTCATCCAAGAGGTCTGGGTGTAACTCAGGACAACTAGTATTGTACAGGCCTCAGATCTCTCAGTCAGTTTTCATCATCAACAATAAGAAAGAGAGGCTAAAACTATTACTGTACAAAACTGTCCAAACTGCCTGCATGACATTTGCCTTTTCTTGAAATCTTGAGGGGGTCTGAAATAATATTCTGTAGTTACTGAGAAAGAAGTGGAACCTTTTAGGAGTGAGTCCAGTTACATCACATAAGGAAAAAAAATAACAGAATTGCAGTAAAATAAATATGATAACAGTTAAACATGGTGGTGGGAAAATGGCCAGGAATTGGTCTTCTGTTTCAGAAACTAAACATCATTGTTCAAACCATGAGAGACTTTATTTCTTTATTAATTTTTTCACACACAATTAACTTTCATAAACATATGGCTTCCATATGAGCCAGCAATAAATTGATATCCACACAACAAATCCAGGATAGATTAATTAGAGGTAAAGGAAAAGAGGTCCTGCAAAGACTGTGATTATTAAAATACACAGAGAAAAAAAGAAATTCAAGTTTGAGGACTTACTTAAGAAAGACCTCAAACTTGTAAATGTATGGTCAAATTGTGGTTAGTTGGAGTTGAATAATTCATAAATTAATCATATATTGAATCTGGAATATCAAAACAAGGGAATGGAGTTGACAATGAACAGCAGGGAAATGCATCAACAGATCAGAACTTGGCCAGATTGTGAGTATGTAACCTCACTCTCTACATGATGTTGGCCTGAGAGGATCCACTTTTCAGTATCTGCAGGGTGAAAATTAGTTTGATAGTTTTCCTAAACCAGGGAAAAAATAAGACATAGATTAATGGGTTTAAACAGGAATTAAGGTAAAACAGAAAAAAAGCAAAGGATGAAGCACTAAACTGGGTTCCCCCACCAGTAACTGTGAGAAAAAAGTATGGACATATGCATATTAGAAATGCAGCTGCAACAACCCCAAGTGTCCTGGCTGATTTGAGTTCAGATCTCTTAATGTTACCTCTGACTGAACCCTGGAGGGAAACAGCTACAACACGAACTCGCATGGCCCGAGCCTGAGACACAGCCACCACAAACACTCTCACATACAGAATGATGATGATGGTGACAGGACCGATGAAGAAAAACAAGATGTCTGTTATTCCAGCAGTTTCATCAAATCCAGCTATGCACTCTCCAATGCATGAATTAAATCTGCCTGGCTGTCCCAGGTTTTCCTTGAAAACTATAAAGACACAGACGGCAGAAAACACCCAACACAATGAAACACACACACAAACCCTTTTTTGAGTGCTGTGGTGGGATACTGGAAAGAGTTACAAACAGCTACATAGCAGTCCACTGATATGAGTACCATGTTCTCTACTGATGCAGATGTAATAACATAATCAATGATGTAATACAGAACACACATGAAGTCGCCAAGATACCAGCAGCCATCAATGAGAAGGATTGAAAGACTATGAGGAAACCCACCAAAAAATCTGAGACAGCCAAGGAGAGAAGGAGGATGTTGGTGGGCGTGTGGAGCTGCCTGGAGGAGAACAACAACATTAATAATCAAAGAAGAAATATTGTTCAGCAAAGAAAAAACTTATCTAAAGAGCAACCACCTCTTGCAACTTTCTATATTGTTCAAACATCTAATTACTTAAAGTGTGAGATAGAGATGATGACCAGCAGGTTCAGGGTCACAGTGAGCCAAGACACAAAGGACAGTAAGCAATACATGAGCACTGAGGTTGGATGAGGAAGCATGATCTTCCTGCAGGAGGAGTTGAGGAGTTGTGGGAAACAGAGTTCAGCCTCCTCAGGGCTCTGCATGATCACAGACAGGAGGAAAGCTCTGCAAAGCTCCTGGCTGATGCTCAGTCTATATCATCTTCTGAAGTGCTGGTGTGGAGGATGAGCCTGCTGGGCAGACCCATGAGGTCTCATCACCACTCACAGACAGGACGGTTCTCCAGTAGATGGCTCCAGTGCTGCTGTTATTGGGAGGCTACCTAGTCTTGATGTTGTTCATTTAAAAATGAGCTCACAGTAAGTGAATTCACCTCTGGAAGGATCTACAGGTTAGACCAATTTGTCTAATCTGTAGAAACTTCTCAATGCATCAACTAACACTAGACGTTGAAGATGTTCATTTACAACGTTTGTGACTGGAAAGATGCAGTCACTCATAAAGTGATAAACATAAATATAGATTGAACACGTCAATGTTTTTTTTAAATATATATTCTAAATGAGGCAACTGGCAAAACCTAACAAATTCACACAGACAAAGAAAGTGAAACAAATTAGTTAAAGCTCACACAGGATCCATTCCACTGACCCTGGGTCCACAAGAGGTTTAAGAATCTTTGCATCAGTCTGATTCAAATAGTAAACTATTCCCTTTCCGTCTCTCCCTCTGAGTTTTCAGCATCACCTGTAATAATAAACAAAAAATCAATTAATTGCATGATAAATTAAAATGAACTCAATCATTTTTATTTGCTTCATTTATCATTTTTCTCATTTCTCTCTCTTTTTACCAAAAACTGAATGATAAAAGTCTTCAGTCTGGTATTTTGGTCTCAACTATCCCTTTTGAAAGATTATTTTGTTTAAGGAGTCTTCATAATTCCTTTTATTTGTTGTTTCTGTTGTGTTCTGAGTCCATTCATATGTCTGCAATTCAGCAAAACCATGTAAATCAGCCATCATTTGAAATCATGTGTGCTAAAGCAGGAGAATGCCTAAAACATGCAGGGCAGTGTGACTGGAGGACCAACGCTGAACAACTCTGATCCAGCTGAACTCATTACTTACACTTACATCCCCAATCATCTCCTTGTTCATTCCCAGTTTTGTTCCTTTGTAAGTTTGCCTTCTATTTCTTATATTAAAAGGCACCATGGCTATGGGGGAATCCAAGAGCACATTTTCAGTCTAAAAGCAGGATTTTATGTCTTTTGTTCTGAAAAGTTTTAATACTTTTGCTTACATTTTCATTTTGAAAGCAGGATTTCATATCTTTCTTTTCAAAACATGTAACGCTTGTACTCAAAACTTCTCGCACTGACACTTAGTCTCTGGTCAGATTCTCTGCTTGCTCAGGAAACATGGAACTGCCTCTTGGCACAGTCACCGGGCAACCTCGCAACCAATAGAATGAAAGTGTTGTACTGGGTGCGTTTGTTTCCTTATAGTGGATGTGCCTGTGTGTCTACTATTGAGTGTAGTAACCTGCACCACCCACTGGAAATAGGAAGAAACGACGTCAGCTTTCTGCTATGTAGTGAAATAAACATCCGCCAGCAGCGTGCTGTCACTAACAACTACTGATCAGGATTTTGTTCACCCAACAATGTCACAACATAGTTATGAAATGAAGAACATAGTCATGACAAAAAGAATGTAAAAATATCATTGAGAGAAAGTGAATTTTGGATACTTCCCCTTTAATAGTTTCCAGGTTTTCTACTTCACAGAGGAACTTGATCACTAAATAACTTGCCTCTTGCCATCAGTCTGATGGCTATTCTATGTGATATTCTATTGTACAAATAGAATAGATTTGATATTTGTGCTAAAGGCTTTGTTTATTAAAGTGTTTAACACAAAATGAAGCGCAGGCACAAGAGCATCTTTTCGCTCTGTAACATCATGGAAACTAAAAATGGAACAGATTCTTAAAAGGTTAACAAGGTTGTTTGATAAAGATTACTAGAATAAAATGTTATCTTAGGGTTCATGTACTTGGTTAGAAAAAAGGGACACAATCAACTCTCAGTACAAGATCGAGAGTGTGAGGACAGGATTGGATATGTCAGCTCGAGTTCTGAGAAAAATAAATAAATAAATAACATCTCAGTCAGCTGTTTCACAAAGCCAAATGTTTACTTCCAAGCTTTTAACTGTCTGAAAAATTCAGTTTAACTTTCAACTCCAGTTGTCCATTTTTCTTGAGAACTTGTCCTTTGACCTCTGAAAGGGGTATTGCAAGACTAAAGTCTGAAAAAGACAATATAAAAACCTACAAATAAAATGCTATGAAAATTTGAAATCAGAATTGTTTTCTTAATTAGCATTTTACAACCCCTCCCACTGGGCAAAGACCAAATATCCAGGTCCAGCCTCCATATCTCTGCAAGACCAGACACTTAAAATAGTTTCTGATAGAAAGCAGGAAGAGTTCAGCGGCTTCACATCTCCCTTTGTATTTTTGGAAAATGCTAACTGTTGAAGAAAATGAACTGTGCTATCCACACCTCAACTCATCCTGCAGAAAGGCCACACGCCCTCACTCTCTGTCCATTCTTATTTATGTTTCACTATCCTTGATTGCTCTTTTTACTGTGATTTTTAACTTACTGGTCATCATTTCTGTCTGCCACTTTAAGTAATTAAAAAAATGGAACTATTTAACTATTAAAATATAGCACAATTCTTTTTAAATTTCAGACGTTTCTAATCCGTATGTGTTATTTTCTAATTTCTGCAGGAGGCTCCACAGCCCCACCAATATCCTGCTGCTCTCTCTGGCTGTTTCAGACTGCCTGGTGGGATTCCTCATCTCATTCCAGATAGAGCTGATAGATGGCTGCTGGTATCTTGGAGACATCATGTGTGCCATTTACTTTGTTTTGGACTATGCTATCACATCTGCCTCAGTGGGAACCATGGTTCTTATTTCTGTTGATCGTTATGTGGCCATCTGTCACCCATTGCACTACCCCAGTAAAGTCACGGCAGGGAGAGCAAAAATTTGTGCTGTCATTTGTTGGATTTCTTCTGTTCTGTTTCACAGCTTCCTGCTGAGAAGTAACCTGCAAAAACCAGGCAGATACAACTTCTGCTCTGGAGAGTGTGCAGTTGGTGTAGATTATGTTGGAGGAATTCTTGACCTTCTGCTGTCCTTCGTTGGTCCCGTCGCTGTGATCATTATTCTGTATGTGAGAGTGTTTGTAGTGGTTGTGTCTCAGGCTCGAGCCATGCAGTCTCACGTTGCAGCAGTCTCTGTGAGCGTCACAGCTAAGACATCTGAAATGAAGGCAGCTGTTATACTTGGTGTTGTCGTGGTTGTGTTTCTAATATGCACCTGCCCATATTACTGTGTCACACTCATGGCTGAGGATGCTGGGGTCAGTGCTTCATCTGTAGCCTTCCTTCTGTTTTATTTTAATTCCACATTGAACCCTTTGATCTATGCCTTGTTTTATCCCTGGTTTAGGAAATCAGTTAAACTCATTCTTACACTGCAGATCCTGAAAACTGGTTCCTCTAACACTAATGTGTTTTGAAGCACAATGAGATACAGATTTAAATGTACAAAGATGCAGGTACAGAGGAAATTTTCCTGATATTCATATTTCCTAGAAAAGGCCCAATAAAATAATAAGTTTAATAAAGTGTGTGCTTCCACCATAGGGATACGTTGGAGATTTTATCTTACCAACTAACTGAACATAGATGAACCAATTTCATAAAAAATAGACCTGAACACTAGAAAAACAAAAGTCAATATCCAAATTCCAAAATATCCCAACCACTCCCACAAAACCCATTTTCACCAGATCAATGTGTTATGAAATAAGATGGAGATATAAAGAATAAACTTATTTATGGACTTGGACAAATTTGATTCAAGGTCACTGGACTGAAAAGGTTGACAAATCAGTTTTCTCATGTAAGCAGCAGGTTTTAGGAAAAAACTGAGGTGTGTGTGATGTAATAAAAGTTGTAAGACTGTTAAGGTCCTTTTCAATACAGGTCAGCTTCACCAGGTGACAAACCCCCCCACCCCACACATGGCATGTCGGTTGAATGTGATGCTGACTGACTGTGCATTTTTATATGCATGGATATATGCCTCCAAGTGTTCATCCGCCAGACAGGTCTGTTAATAAACTGTCAATTTAGTTAAAGTGTCTGTTATGGCTATTTTTAGTTAACCACACTGTAAATGTGATGGCTACAGATTGTTTTGAACTTTATTAGCAGTTAACACAATCATTTGTGAAATGTAAAAAGAAAAAAGTTAAAAAAAAAATATATATATATATATATATATATATATATATATATATATATATATATATATATATATATATATATATATATATATATATATATATATATATATATATATATATATATATATATATATATATATATATATATATATATATATATATGTCTGCTCACTTTTGAAGTAATGCAGCAGAATTTGTTCTTTAGCTTTTTACATCCTCATTTGGGTTAGTGATGTATCACTTTGCAGTCGAATTATATACATGGTTCCTTGGCGAAAGATTTTTAATTTTTTTTCCAATTTGTTTGATAAGCTTTTCTCTTGCTTCAAAAGATTCATTAAAAATTGCAGATGCAAAAACTGCTTGACCGCTCTTACACCAAAGAAGGCTTTTCTGCTGACACCTGGACATGGGGTGAATTATGCCATTAGCAAAACTCATATCTACATGTAAATATTTTCAACTTGTGTACAGCTGAAGCGCCTAACCAGATGATCATGATTCATCAGCCAATCTCAGGAAGTAAGTCTCTTCAATAGCTCTACTTTGATGCAGAAATCAAAATATTCATTCATATCCAAAACACTGATAACTTCACTAAAGACAAATAAAACATGTTCCAAGTAATGACTAATAATAATAATAATTATTATTATTAATAATAATCATTGTAGTTATTGTTTTCGAAAAAAAATAAATACAAATTTTAAATATGCGACCCACAGGCCCACTCTGACAGCTCATCAGTACAACTGAACTGGCTAATCAGGGACCCGCCTCTCAATAATCACAATAACATATCAAGCCTGAAAACATAAAGTCAACTGTTTAACAGAATATCTGCTATGTCGGCTTGTGGAGCTGTCACTCGGTTGGCAACTAGTGTGCTGGAGAGAGAGAGTAAAGTCATGCTAGTGTTTTAAGTTGTTCACCTCTTCAGCATTATGTTCACTTTGCTGCGACAAAGCAACTGGACTAGTTGCCTTGTTTCTTTGTAGAAGATGCAGATATTTATAACAGTCATCAAATAGGATGAAATAGTTCACAGAACACAGGACCCATGGTAGGAGCCTAATATTAACAGCAAAAATAGTTTAAAATGGTATTATTGACCAATATAAACAAGAAACCAAACTTTTTAAAGATTTTTTATATGAATACATGCTTTACATATCAAAACATCATCAATTTTCTAAGCTTTAATTTTAATTAGCAGAAATTGGGTAAGAAATAAGGCCTCTAGGCCCATTTGTGTGACAGATTGCCACAAGCAATTTCTTCATCTTGTTCCTCCACTTGCCTCAGATGAATCCAAGGTGTTCATTCAGATGAACAAGTGGGAGATGGCACAAAGCCTTTACCTCATCTTCTTCATGTCTGGGATTGTCATTGTCCCACCTGTCAGGATTAAGGACTGACATTTGATTTAGAAGTCTGCTGTCAGTCTCTTTTCTGCTGGCTGTGACACTGGCCTGAACTTTGTGAACCAGCAAACAGAAGGAGAAGATGCAAAGGATGATGTTGTTTTAGATTTGTAGTTTCTCTGTAGTCGTAGCAGTAGCAGTGGAGGAAGTGAACAACGCCGTTCAGTCTGTGTTGGTCTTTAACATCAACAGCTGCCGTGTTCGAATCAGCAATTCTGCCTTGGGAAAATGTATTGGTTTTCTCGAGAAAGACTTTAAATAAATACTAATAACTGCACAAAATACTACTATTTTAATTATTATTCCTACTGGTCTATTACTGGAGTTCTCTAATGTGCTGAACAACAATGCCTGAGGGAATGTGTCTACACAATATGCCACACCTCCAAACAGACAGCTGCAGTAGTTTGCATAGCATAAAATAAGTTAGAGATATTATTATTTTTTATCAAATCTACAGAGCAGGAGTGTGAATATTTATTAGGCCCCACCTTCACATCAACAGAGGGTAGAGAGCTGAATATATGACAGTTGTCTGGCAAAGTGATTGAAGCTTAAAGTGAACTGAACAGCTTCTTGTCTCCTCTGTCTAATTATGAAAATTGATGATGAAGCTGAACTTTGCTTTCCCCAACTGCTCAATACATCCTGTAGAAAGATTATGTTGTCCCCCTCTTTATCCTTGGTTATTCACTTAACATTATCTTCCATCTCTCTACTTACTGTATTTTCTAACCTGCTGGTCATTATCTCCATATATCATTTCAAGTAATGAAATATTTTACCTTTCAAGAATTGTTTCAAACAATACATTGTGACTGTGTCACTCTGACTTTATTTGCTGAAATTACAAATGTAACTGCATTAGATAATGACTGTGTTGTTTTCTAATTTTTGCAGGAGGCTCCACAGCCCCGCCAACATCCTGCTACTCTCTCTGGCTGTCTCAGACTGCCTGGTGGGATTCCTCATCTCATTCCAGATAGTGCTGATAGACGGCTGCTGGTATCTTGGGGACATCATGTGTGCCATTTACTTTATTTTGGATTATATTATCACTACTGCCTCAATAGGAACCATGGTGCTCATATCCATTGATCGTTACGTGGCCATTTGTTATCCCTTACGCTACCCCAGCAAAGTCACCACTGAACGAGCAAAGATGTGTGTTTCACTGTTTTGGATGTGTTCTATTCTTTATCATTGTATTCTGTTAAGGGACAATCTGCAACACCCAGGCAGATATAATTCCTGTTCTGGAGAATGTGTTGTTTTTCTAGATTATATTGAGGGAATTTTTGACCTTTTGTCATCCTTTATTTGTCCTGTCACTGTGATCATTATTCTGTATGTGAGAGTGTTTGTAGTAGTTGTGTCTCAGGCTCGAGCCATGCAGTCTCACGTTGCTGCAGTCTCAGTCCAGGGCTCAGTGAAAGTCACAGCTAAGAAATCTGAAATGAAGGCAGCCATAACACTTGGAGTTGTTGTAGTTGTGTTTCTGATATGCACCTGCCCATATTTTTGTGTTTCACTGATTGCAGAAGATACAGCAGTCAGTGCTTCATCTGTAGCCTTCCTTTTGTTTTATTTTAATTCCACCCTGAATCCTCTGATCTATGCCCTGTTTTATCCCTGGTTTAGGAAATCAGTCAAACTGATTTTTACTCTCCAGATATTGAAGCCAGAGTCGTGTGACACCATCATGATCTAAAGAGAATTTAAGTAACAAAACTTTTTCATTGGCCAAGAAACTGGTTGTAATAAAATTCTTGAAGAGAATTTACATGATTAGAGTTGAAACTGTTGTGGTCTCGTCACAGATGTGTCAGGAACATCCATGTCCCCCTTTGTAGCAACAGCATTGATTATATTGTTCAACAAATCCTGTTACAGATTTAATACTACATAAATTTGCATAAACATTTATGAATCTTAAAACATATGAGAAATATTATCATAAAATGTGATACCAGCCTTTGACAAAAAAAAAGTGGTGTTTATTGGCAGGACTCAACTATTTTTATGCTTTGGTCTTTTTTTGACTTATAAAATATTGTGTAACTTTAACAAGTAATAAAACATTCTTAACTGTGTTCAAATTTAATCTTACTTACTAACAATATCTGTTTTATATCGTTTTGAAATGTACAAACACAAATACATAAGCTAAATGTTATACTTCACACTGTCTTGTCATAAATCTTGTGAAATTTATATAAATCTTTAAATTGGTGACACAGAAATTAAAAGTAGAATAATGCTTTAGAAAATTTCTTTAAATAGCACAAAATATGTTTTGTCTTAAAAACTGTTTCTCAATAATTTGTTACATCTAACCAATGGACCCAAAAAATTTGCATATTTTCTGTTGGTGTAATACATTTAGTTATTGGAGTAAAATCCAATGATATAAAACGTTTTTGCATACACTTCCACTTTAATTCATATACATACATTCACAACACACATACATGACATTTACTCATATAAATGATTTTACATGTGTTTTAGGCTGGAATTTTAACATGTCAGTTTAAAAATGTACGCAAATAATTACACTGTAGTGTAAACATGTTGTCAGTAAGATATGTTAGAGTTCATCATTCTGCTGCACGGAATGATATGTCAGTATAAAAGAATCAGAATTAATTTTATTTGTTATGTTTGTGGAATTTCATAATTTCATCAATCAGTCAGTGCTTCATCTGCAACCTTTATTCTGTTTTATTTTAATTCCACCCTGAACCCTCTGATCTATGCCCTGTTTTATCCCTGGTTTAGGAAATCAGTTAAACTGATTTTTACTCTGCAGATATTGAAGCCAGAGTCGCGTGACACCATCATAATGTCAAGAAAATCTTTATCTTTTCATAGAGGTCATGGATGGAAATAAATCTTTAAGAGACAACACATTTTATTTAATGGATCTTTGTTCTTGGAATTATTACACAATTGTGAATAAATTTGTTCTACCTTTTATGTCAGCACAGATTTCATTGTGTCCAGAGAGCCTTTCAATTCTGTACAAGGTATTTCAGTGTCCTAAAACATGCCAGGAATGCTGTGGTTATATCTGACATAACCAACATTTTTTTTAAAGACACAAAGTCTTTACTGACTAGATAAAAAATTACATTGTAAAGTATTGTGTAACATTAACAAGTAATTAGTAATTATTAATTTGAACAATTTAAGTCAGATTCTGATTGAGCCAAATCTCTTGTGGAAAAGGGCCAGAAGTGTTTGAATCAATGGCTTATTGCAAATGCTTGTGTGAGTGTTGGGATGTAAAAATAAAGACAAACTTAAATGTGCATGAGGAGGAGGAAAGGCCCAGCAGTACATCGGCATTGCATGAGGTCTGGAGAGAGCAGAACTCTGGGTTCAAATCACCATCATCACAGAGAAAGACCACACACCCCATCTCAGAACCCTGCCCTCTAAGGCCTGCATACATTATAAATGATATGAACACTAGCATAAAAACTTGCAAGTGTCTTCTTTCACCGACTTATCATAAATGTATAAATATCACATCTCCACATATGTTATGTGCAATTCAATGACAAAAAAAACACATCAATGATAACCTTCTTGCTGGTCTGCACTGGCACGAGTTTGCCAGGAGGAACCTGTCCATCAAGGATGCCGTTTCCATTACACTACACACAGCCCTGACACATCTGCAATATCCTGACCCATATGTTAGGATGCTGTTTGTTGACTTCAACTCATCACTTAATGCACAACAGAGAAGTTGATAGCAAAGTTGCACAACCTGGGACTTTTAACACCAATGTCCCTTTGGATCAAGGCCTTTCTCACCAACCAGCCTCAGGTGTGGAAAATAGGGGACTGAACACCATCCACTCTGGTCGTCAATGCAGCCACACTGCAGGGTTTTGTGGTTAGTCTGGTTCTATTTAGTGTGTTCACACATGACTGAGCAATCATCCACTCCTCCAATTGGGTTCTAAATTTTGCAGATGATACCATCGTATTGGGTTCGATAATAACCAATGATGAGATCCTGTGCAGAGAGGAGATCCAGCATCTATTTACTGAACAGCCTGATGCTCAACACCAGCAAGACCAAAGAGGTCATAGTGGGCCACAGGAGGACCAGAGGGACAGTGCACCTACCTATTACAACTGAAGAGCAGGAAGGGCAGTGCATAGACTACATCAATTTCCTGGGCGTCCACATCACTTTCGATCTGGCCCAGTTGCTGAAGACCTCTTTTTTGATGAAGAAGGCCCAATAAAGGTTTTTCTTCCTCAGGAACCCGAGAAAAAGAGCTAGGCTCCCTGCTCTGTTGCAGCGGAAACCCTGACTTCCTTTAAATCGCAACTAAAAACACATCTGTTTAGGATTGTATTTGAAATGTAATATGTAACAATGTATTGTCTATTATATGTTGCATGACTTTGTGTTCTTGTGTTTATGATGTAAAGCACTTTGAAATGCCTTGCCGCTGAAATGTGCTATACAAATAAATTTTTATTTGATTTTGATTTGCTCAAGAGGCTCTTGGCACATCCTGATTTTTCACAAATCAGGACAAGACCTGGATGAACAAGAAGGTTAGAAAACTTTCAGGAGCTCCAGCACTTCTTCACCTATTTTGAGGCTGAATCACAAGCATAGCCCAGATATTGCTGCAGTCATCCCTCCATAGCCAGACCATTACAGTACAGGAAGTACAGAGAACGTTGAGGGCAGTGAATCCCCAGAAAACTACTGGAGCTGACGGAGTGACAAGGACGGTGCTGAGGGACAGTGAGGACCAGCTCGATGGGGTTTTTACCAGCATCAGTTCCTCTCCCAGTGTACCATCCCACCATGCTTAAGCCCTCCACCATTATCACGCTGCCAGAAAGGAACAATATTAGCAGACTCAATGATTACTAATATTGCCATATTAGTAGTCATTAGTGGGAACTAATCCCGATCATCATAAACTGCTTTGAGAAAGCAGTTCAGCATCACATCATTTCATGTCTGTCACCTACCGGTTTGCCTTCAGAACCAACCGCTCTACAGAGTGAACTCTGAATGAAACAGCAGCTGGTAAAAATAACCTACTATTACTTCAGGGAGCATCCCCAAATGGTTCCCACAAAATTTGTAGGTGAAATTTTATGTGCTGTACAATCCAATCCAGCTTCATATACAAAGATATTTAAAACATCACAGAGAATCAAAGTGCCATACATTTAAAAAGACCAAAATGAATCAAAAGTCTACATTTAGACAGGAAATCCTTTTAAGTATGGTTATAAAGTCCGTGATAAGAGCAGCCATACAGATAGAACACAAAAAACAAAATAAAGTATCTCAAATGCAGTCAAAGAGCAGAGTAACAAGGGAACAAGTTGACTTCTAAGGAGTGATTTGAAAACAGAAAATAGGCTTGTCTAATTTGCATAATGTTATTGCACATTGGAGTTTTTCTCTTGAAATAGTCAGAAGGGTTAATGGCTAACGCACTCTTTAAGTCCCACCTCTGTTGCATTGGACAGAGTAAGAGAGAGAAAGAAGGAGATATGATTTGTCTAATAGTTTCATATATAGATGAGACAGACTTCAGCAGTTTCTGTTCTTCTCTGTCTAATGATGAAAGACTCTGAAGAAGCTGAACTTTGCTTTCCACAGCAGCTCAATGCATCATGCAGCAAGACCATGCATCCTCCCTCAGTATCGTTGTTGATTTACATTACTCTGTCATTCATCTCTTTTCTCACTGTGACACTCAACCTTCTGGTCATCATTTCTATCTCCCACTTTAAGTAATGGAATATTTCACCTTTTGAAAACTGTTTCAAACAATATATTGTGACTGTGTCACTCTGACCTTATTTGTTGAAATTACAAATGTAGCTGCATTAGACAATGAGTGTTTTATTTTCTAATTTCTGCAGGAGACTTCACAGCCCCACCAACATCCTGCTGCTATCTCTGGCTGTCTCAGACTGTCTGGTGGGATTCCTCATCTCATTCCAGATAGTGCTGATAGACGGCTGCTGGTATCTTGGGGACATCATGTGTGCCCTCTATGTTGTTTTGGACTATGCTATCACTGCTGCCTCAATAGGAACCATGGTGCTCATTTCAGTTGATCGTTACATGGCCATCTGTTACCCCCTGCATTACTCAAGCAAAGTCACTACAGAACGAGTGAAGATGTGTGTTTTACTGTGTTGGATGATTGCTTTTCTTTGTCACAGCCTGCTCCTGAAAGACAGCTTGCAAAAACCAGGCAGGTTTAATTCCTGCTTTGGAGAGTGTGTAGTTGTCCTAGATTATGTTGGAGGAATAGTTGATCTTTTGTTATCTTTTATTGGTCCAGTTTCTGCCATCCTCATTCTGTATGTGAGAGTGTTTGTAGTAGTTGTGTCTCAGGCTCGAGCTATACAGTCTGACGTTGCTGCAGTCTCAGTGCAGGGCTCAGTGAAAGTCACAGCTAAGAAATCTGAAATGAAGGCAGCCATAACACTTGGTGTTGTTGTAGTTGTCTTTCTGATATGCACCTGCCCATATTTCTGTGTTATTCTAATGGCAGAAGATGCCACAGTCAGTGCTTCATCTGTGACTTTTCTTCTGTTTTATTTTAATTCCACCCTGAACCCTCTGATCTATGCCCTGTTTTATCCCTGGTTTAGGAAATCAGTAAAACTCATTCTTACACTGCAGATATTGAAGTCTGACTCATCTGACACTATTGTGATGTCAAGAAATTAGCCTGTGATCTAAAAATTTATTTTATTGGAGGAAAAGAGAACAATAAAATGTTTAAGGTATTGCTGTTGTCATGTTTGATGCTGGCACAAACTAAGCTTCTCTTTGGTCACTCATTCCTGGGAGAGGCAACATTTTGCACTTTGGACCAACATTAGGTAGAAGATATTCATATTGACTCATCATGTGTACATTGTATATTTGGTGATAAGCTTACATCAAAGAACAATGTTTAAATTGAGGAGCAGAGTGACTGAACCTCAGCTAATTTTAGTACAATCTGATTTTATTAGATGGGTATTTGAACAGTTAATAAACACAAAGTTATTACAGTATCTCTAGTTCAAGTCTATATACAGATTTGATTTTTAATAGAAAAATGCTCATATATATAAATTGTTTGTGTGAAAAAATATCCTAACAGAAGTGAGTACACTAATAAGTGCACAGAAATATTTCAGGTGAGCACCATGTTTTTTGATGATATTAACAGCAGCACCCAAACACAGACTGTTTAATGAAACCAACTGAATGACTTACAGAACAAAAGACAAGAGACATGAAGCAAAGACTAAGAGAAAGGCAACATAAAGGGAGCCAATGACACTGCTCTGCTCTCTCAAACCTCTAGTCGGTGTGGCAGATGGCTGCATATACCGAGCCTGGTTGGTTCTGCTGGAGGTTTCTTCCTGTGAAAGGGGAGTTTTCCTCTCCACTGTCTACATGCATGCTTGGTCTGAAGAATTGCTGTAAAGTCAACAACACAATGCAAGTGATTGTTGCTACGGTCTCATCCAGGAGGAGAGAATGCTGCAAATCAATGGATAAATGATCTGCTGGGTTTCCTTGGATAGGAATGTTTCAAAATAATATGAATAAGCTTAACATACTATTAAATAACAATGGTCATCTGGAATGTAAAATGACTTCTTTTCTAAAGTGCCTCCAGATGATATTTGTTGTGATTTGGTGCTGTATAAATAAACTAAATTGAATTGAATGATGACGTGAGTAAGCTCTATATTTACTGAGGAAGAAGTATGGAAATGACAGGGGCTAATCAAAGGTGCGTGAATGCAGCTGAGAGATAAGATGATAGACAAGAGCTGGCAGGCAGAGGGAAGGTGAAAGCTAAGAGAATGAAAATGGAGAAAGACATAATACAAACAACAAAAACAGAAATTAACTTTCATCTTTCATCTAAAGAAACAAATCTAAAGCACAAACATCACTAGATAACACAAAATCAAAGGACATGAGGAAATAAGCAATAAATAAAGAAGCAAAACAGAAACATAAATGAAACAAAAAGTCCAAACATCTACAATCAAAATTCAACTCACCTGATAATTCCCCAACTTTGTTTCTATACAACAAAACCGTTTTGGGTTGGATTGCTTTAGTTCAGAGCCGCTAGTTTTGTATTTAGATGAGTCACTTATAGATCTGCGATATGATAAATGAAACTGCATAACAACTGCTAGAGTATGATCAGTTGTTTTCTTCTGCAGCAAAACTTGAAAAGTCTTATCATTCAAACAAACCTTCAGTTAACTAAATGTTTGCAGACCTAAACATGGCTGTAACAAAAGAGCTGTGAGTTGAAAAAATGAAAAAGAACTTGAAACCTTTTGAAGTAAATAAGCTAAGCTGGGCTGCAGTAAAATGTTTTTGTGTCTAATATTTAAAGGGAATTCAAAGCAGATAAAAATATTGTGAAAAGGGAACATCCTGTTGATCAAGGACACATAACAGTGTCAGGACAGAAAACTTGAAACAATATGCTCTTAAATGGAAAATTAACAACAATAGAAATTAAATAAATGTTCATTGTGACGATCATCTTTGTGGCTAACTATTAATAACAACAATCCAGAAAAAAGCTAAGCTACTGCCAGACTGTTTTTGATCTTGCAGTGTCATTGGCATGTTAAAAAATAAGTTTTGCATGATAAATATGATATATCACTGGATGTGAGTAGCAAAGCGGTTAGGAATCGTTTGAAATGTTTAAACTAAAGCTTAAAAGGGATGAGAAAATGCAGTGCTCTCGCTCTGCAAAGCGAGAGCACCGTAATCATTATTAAAACAATGTGTCAGTTTTAATTCAGCCTCATGTATCTGACCTGATAAGTATTTTCTCTGTTATATCAGACACACTGTCCTTAGTATCTGATAGTGTTTATATTTTAAGTAATCTAGTTATAAATGTAGAAAATGTAACAATAACTGTAAAAACTGAGTATAACGGAAAATTTTAAAAAGTAAAAACTATCAAATGAAGACAGGAGAGGGAAGGTTAAGATGTATGTTTCTCCTTCACCAGTGGAAACACAACCAGTCAGAACCTCAGGCAAAGCTATGATAGCTGGGAAATGTAGTTTGGTCTGTCCTTTCTCTCTTTTTTTATATACCACTGGTGTCCAAAGTTGGGATGCAGACAGTTAATCAATTTACAAATAATTGTTGATTAATAGTTTATTAGATCAGAATTATCTCCAATAAACTTCTCACTAATAAAGTCCAGTTAAATGTTCTTTTAATGTTGTAGTTTAACTGCTAGCCAACAGAAGGCACCACTGGTCATTCTTAAGCAGAGCCACCTGATACAGGAATAAAGATGGTGAGGCAATACCAGGATGGGAAAAAGAAATGGTCCAAATGTGGGATGCAAGATCCACTAGATGTGGTTCAAAAATTTCAACACTCAACAAGCTCCTTAAGGTTTACCTTTGCAGTGCTGATTCAGCTGAGATCCATGATGGAGCAGTTTAAATTTCTCAACCAACAATGACCGGTGTGCTATGAAGCCGAGGATGTGATGACCAGAAAGCAGAAGCCAGAAAATTATAACATGATGGAAAAAGTCATGATGCCAATAAACAAGGTTGATTTTGAGGTTTGTCGTGTGTTAATGCACTTCATAGGGCGACATCTGAACATTGTTTCGAGAGCGACCACAGACAGCACTCCTGCATGAATATCTCTGTTCAACGAGACTCACATATTTTATTGTTTTCATCTTTTATTTTTCTATAAAGCAACCTAAGAAATTCCTGGTTTGTTATTTTTTTTAAAAATAGATCCGGGTTTAGTTTAATCAGTGTTTGACAGTTGACCAAAAATAACTAAAATCAATGATATTTTTATAAGCTTTGCATAGTGTTTATGTTACGGAAAGAAGGTTGTCTTTCTTAATTTAAGAAAATGGCTGCTCATTAATTGATAACTCACATCAATCATCTGAAGTCATTCCTCAGCAGCCTGGATCCTGCATGTTTTTGTTCTTTTCTTAGTTCAACACACCTGAATCAAATGATGGGTTATTAGCAGGCCACTGGAGAACATGATGATACGTTGAGAAGGTACTTTGATTGTTTGAGTCAGCTGTGTTGGAGCAGAGACACATTCAAACCTTTGTACTGACATGTGCTGAATCAGGAAGCTTTTTAAAAAACTCCACACTTTTTAGGGGGTAAAAAAACAGCCCACTTATCAAATAAATCATTAGTCGATCAAAAAGATTAATATATTTTATATTAACTCATTAATCGATATGAGTTGTATGAGTTTTATGCCTAAAATGTTATGTCAAATAATAAACACACAGACTCTTTTTAAGGTTAACTGTACTATAATGAGAGAGAGAAGTGAGGAAAACACAATATGGATTTGTTCTTCATAAAAGGCACACACACACACACATGCGCAGTTGCTTAAGCACACACATAAGCAACTGCACTCAACAAGCAGTAAATGACAGCGTGTGGTGGGTGATGTTAATGAAAGAGTGACTTGAGTAAATGTCTAAAGATTTTCTGAATCAAAATGAAGGATCTGGAATAAAGTGGAACTATGTATAATAATCTGGGTGAATGGATGCTTGCATTTTAAATGTAGATCTTGTGAAAAGCGATTTCAGTGGTTAATGTAACAAGAAAAGTGCTATAAATTTTCAGTCACCAAAACCTTCACTGTCACTTCATATGTCAGCTATCTAATTATGTAATTATGTATCTTACTTTGAAATACATTGAAGATTAAGGTCATATGTGTCAAAATGATTAATTATACTTTAACAAAATACATTATTTAGTTTTACAGTAAGTTTGCATCTGAGGAGCCAGACTTGAGAATTTTATGTGTAACAATAATTTTGATAGATTTTCTAAACCAGGGGTAGAATAATATATAGATCAGAGGGTTTAGACAGGAATTAACATAGTATAATAGGAGATAGGCACCTGATAAACTACTGAATATACTCTCTTGGCTCAGAACTCAGACACAAAAATATAGACAAAGGGACAACAGAAACACAATTATAACAACCTTAAGAGTCCTGTCAACTTTTAATTCAGATTTCTTCGGTTTTTCTTTTCCTGAAAGCTGATGTGTGTTGGCTGCAACATGAGAGCGCATGGCTCGTATCTGAGACACAGCCACCACAAAGACTGTAACATACAGAATTATGATGATAGTAACAGGAAGAAGAAAAGTTAATAAGAGATCAACAATATATCCAGTGAAGCCTATCTCAAATGTACACTGTCCAACACATAAATTAAATCTACCTGGTTGCTCAAGATTCTCCTTTAAAATTACAGTGGAATAAACAAGAGAACAAGACCAACACAGAGAAACAGAGACTTGGATTCTTTTTAGAGTAACCTTAGTGGGATAATGTAAAGCATCACAGATGGATGGCTACATAGCGATCAATTGAAATGAGGACCATAGTTTGTACTGAGGTAGACGCAACAGTAAAACCTAAGACAGCAATCAAAACACATATTATGTTGCCAAGATACCAGCAGGCATTCAAGTAAATTTGAAAGAATAACAGGAAACCCATAATGAAATCTGAGAAAGCCAGAGAGAGAAGAACATTTGTGGAGGTGTGAAACTGCCTGGAAAGATTAAAAACACAAACACATAAAGACTTCACATATTTCATTCAGTCTAAAAGTCACGGCCTTCTGGTGTGATTTTTCAAGAAATGTTGACCTGAAGTGCATGATAGCAATGAATGCACTTCCTCAGCAGCCTGAGGAAGTTCAGTCATTATGAGAAAAGAAAAAAGACAAAAATCAAATCAAATTTTATTTGCATAGCAAGGCATTTCAAAGTGCTTTACATCATAAACACAAAGTCATGCAACATAGAATAAACAATACATTGTTCCATATTACGTTTCAAATACAATTCTAAACAGGTGTGTTTTTAGTTGAGATTTAAAGGAAGTCAGGGTTTCCGCTGTTTTACAGTTTTCTTTAAAACTGGTGTTATGTGCTCTATCTTCCTGGTTTTAGTGAGAACACGAGCAGCAGCGTTCTGGATCAGCTGCAGCTGTTTGATTGATTTGTTGCACAGGCCTTTGAAGATGCTGTTAGCATAACCAATGTGACAATGCATTACACCTACTGCATCGTAGGTGTAATGCTAGCTGACACATTGACGTTCATTAACACAGTGAATAGCCATTGAGGACTGTAGGCTAACCCAGCTAACAGAAAATTCAACTAAAGTTTCCGTCGTGGGAGCTTTACGGAGTGGAGACTGGAGCAGCGAGCTGCGCTTATGCTGAGAGTTTGTGGTGGGGCTGAAGGACTGGATCTGTGTTGGCCTCCTCTGTTGTTCCTGGATCCTGTTGACTGCCGGACCGGTTGGGGAGCGGAGGACATCTTGCCGGGCTGGGACTGAGGACATCTTGCTGGCTGGAGCTGAGGACGGGTGAGGTGCCAAGTGGGTTTGGGTCTTCACTTGGAGTGGGGTGCCAAGTTCCACGCTTCGTCAACACATCAGGCCTGCAACGGGTTTTTTGTTGTTGTTGTTGTTGGGACTATATTTTAGTTAATTATTGCCGGCTTAGCTGAACATTAAAGTGTGGGCCCACATTGATTAATATAGGGTGTGAAACCAAAAGAGTGAAACATGTTGCATTTTGTGCATTTGTTACTGTGTTTAATATATGTTCAACACTCATACAAGTGTGTGTTTGATTTATTGTAGAACTGTATTTGGAGTGCATTATTCCTGTTCAAGTCTATTTCATTTGGTGAGAAGGAAAGAAAAGTACCAGTGCATTGTTACTCCAAGGTGAGTGAAACTCAACATAGGTTTAAAGATGAGAGTGTAATAAAGTCATTATTTATAATTTAATGAGTTTAGTAAACTCAGGGGCCCTTGCCTACAGTATAACTGGGCTACAATGCTACTCAGTGATGAAATCATTAATTAATAGAGTTTTAGCACAGAGTGATCTGGTATTTAAAAGAGCTACTTTAAGTGACTTGGAGGCAAAAAAAAATCAGTCTGAGGTTTCTTTAGGCAGGGGATCAGTCTGAGGTTCGAATTAGGACCGCCTTATTTCATATTTCTGTTTTTTGTAAATTTTCTTGTAGTGATCCAGACAGGTAATGTAAGGGCCAGACACAATCTGGAGGGAGACGGGTGTAAAGATAATATCTGGCCTCAGACCTCAGAGACGCAGAGTGATGGATCTTCTGGAAAGTCAGGGGCAGGTGGCTTTAATGAAGTGAGGTCTGCTACGTGAGTGCTAAGGAGAGACTTGCCGAGGAGAACCTGTTGATTCATTCCATCTGTAAATTTAAGAAAATCTGGTCCGGAAGAGATTTCTTCATTGGTATCTATTGAATCCACTGAATGATTGGAGGAGCAGAGAGGGTTGCGGGAAGGAGGGAGGGAAGCAGTCGCGCCATCTCCAGTCGATTTATCAGCTTGTTTTGGAATATCATGCTCCTGATACGAGGAGCGTTCCATCCTAGTCAGACATCCTTGAGCCTGTTCTTCTGAAGCGGTGATCTAGTTGCTATACTTGTTGATAAAATAAAAAGGTTTGCAGTGAGTAGCTTTATCCCATGTTTATTAAGATTGCGTCCTCCTCTTCCAAAAAGGTGAAAGCGCTGCCAATAGATCCAGAGGTTATCGATGAAGGTCACTGAGCTGGTAGAGCAGGTTTTAATCACCCATTTGTTTATCGTGAGCAGCCTGGAGTGTTTTTCATCTCCCCATTGAGGTGATAGAATTGAACCACTGAGAAATAAATTCATTTTTAATTTTCCCATAGTGTTTAGAAGAATGTTAAAGTCCTTTTTCAGAATCTCAAACTTTGCTTTGCCATATCGTTGGCTCCAACATGCACAACTAAAGTCTCAATATCTGGCTGATCAGTGGTGAGAGAGAGTAGTTTGTTGGGTAAATCAGATACAGTGTCACAAGGAAAATACATCACTCTTGTTTTCCTGGGATTGCAAACGTCACTGATTCCCTTTACTGCCTCATCTCCAACAATAAGCACTTTTGGGATACCTTTTGTTTTCCTGGTGGTCCCTTTGTCCTTTGGAGCTTTGGGGGATAGATATGTTGGTCTTGCCTCACTGTTGATGTTTGAAGGCAAAGTTCAGGCTCAGGCTGGAGTGCAGAAAATCTGTTTTTCAGTGGGATTCCCACAGAGTCAGAATATTTTGAGGCTCGTGCTAATTGCTTTGTCCCTGGGAGCGGGGTCGGTGGAGGCGTTTTGGTTGCAGCTACTGACACACTCGTCCACTTTCAAACAACGATCCAGTACTGGATGATACAGGACATCTTTGTCAACATGCAGACAACGGTTTCCTGTTAAAATCCATCTTTTTGTGATGTGAGAAAATGTGACCATAATAGATATTTTCAGAACATTTTACTTTATTTAATTTGATTTGAGATGAGTGAAACACCAATTAGGAAGCTTCAACAATCCGATTGCATGAGTGTGAAGATTCAGCATTTAAGCTTACTGGGTTCACAACAAACTTCAGCCATGGGGATTCTGAATTAACTGTAACAATGTTCAGCTGTTCTAGTTCAGTTTTCCAAACTTTTCTGAGCTTTATATCATCTTGTAACATCATCCCCTTATAATTTTTGTTGATCCATTCATGTGTGTTTGAATAAACCTGTGGCAACCATTCAGGCTTGTCTAAACGCTTGCTCTAATAAAGCTGTACCTTCGAGCTGCAGTTCCTCGCTGAGTTCCTTCTCACAGATGACTTCTCCTTCTCACCTTCTCTGCTCTGGTCCACTTGACAAGTAGCAGCAGAAATGATCCTACACCTGGTGCAACTGCACGTCTGCTGAACTCATCATACAAGCTACTCAAGTCCAATACCCTATAGAATGGTTGTAAGCAACATCATAGAGAAGTAAATGCTGAACTAGTCAAATTTAGACTAGTCAATTCTGTGCTCTGCATTGACCTTTTCAACAAGTTAGCATAAGTCTACAGGCTAAACAAAACATGTTCATTGCATTATTTAAAAATTATTGTTAAATAATGAGATTTTAGTCTGTTCAGTTCTGCCTACTTTAAGCTCCTTTCAGAATGAAATATTTTAGGGTCTCTTGTCACTAAATCATCCAAATAAGCTGCTGCTGCTCATGACCCCCAATTCAACGTTGACACCTAAAAATGGCAAAAGATGCACAATTATACAACCTTACATCTTTAAAAGCAGAAGAAGAGCATCCTGCACAACCAGCCAGAATGTAGCAAGTGGTTTCTGGATGATAAGTCAACAACAAAACATGTCTTTTCTAGCGCATACAGCAGTAAAACCAGCCGACCGAATGAACTGGTCAGGCTGGGGTGTTAGGAGAGGTGCTGTGTTTGACTAGGGTTGCTAGGTGCTGGGCAGTATCTGGTGATTTTGATGTTACATTCTGGAGGTGTTTGAAATGGCTAATTTTTCATCCACTCAAAACAATAAATAAAAAAAAGAAACACATGCAGCTGTTTTTTGGCAAGGAACCCTTAGGGTGTCTTTAGAAGCAGTTGAGATTGTTCAAAATTCACATTTTGCATGTTTTGCATTCCCATAACTGTCTCAACTGCTTCTAAAGACATCATAAGTGTTTCTTGCCAAAAAGCAGCTGCATGTTTTTTTATGTATTTTATGTTTTGAGTGGATAGAAAATTAGCCATTTCAAAAACCTCCAGAATGTAACGTCAAAATCACCATATATATAGAGATATATATACATATATATATCTCTATATATAGATATATTTCATCCATATTTAATCTGCTTAAAACTCAGAAATCTGTCTTGGTTTCTTACAGTTTAAATAAGGGATAAGTGGGGAGCAGAGTGCAAAACTTCATTAGTCATTTCATAGCAACAAGTAAATCCTAGAAAACCATACGATGAGTCATACAATCATTATAAACCACGTCTTTGTTTTGGCTTTGACATTTTTGATCATCTTATGTCCAATTTCTCTGTCTTGCTCTAAGAGCATATGTAACAGTTCCTACAGTATGTGCTTTAGAAAGACAAGGAATTGGACACAGATCAGAAAATTATAGATACTTCTGATGTTTTGTACTAACATCAGAAGAAACAAGAAGAAAGTTAACAAGCAACATTGTTTTTAACTACAATTGAGATACTTGTATCAATTTTAGTTATGCTTTGTTTTTGTGTTAACCATCAAGAAATTTGGTCTGATTTCTGTTGATGAGAACACTCATCGTTTATACCATTCATTCCACAGGAATCATGCTTCAAAATCTTTAGTGTAACAATCAATTTCATTGATTATCTGAACCAGTGGTAGAAAAAGACATAAATTATTGGGTTTAGACAGGAGAAGGAGGACAAACGTATCACAAATTCTGCAGATGAGGCATTTAGTATCTTGGCCTATAAGTGTTACACAGAAGTATGGTAAGAGTCATAGTGTACCTTTAAAAACATTATTTGAAATTTAGTTTCTAGTCTTCACAAAATGTTTTTGGTTGTTTTAATGTGCATCACTACATGCATAAAATATAGGTGGCTTGAGAGATTGCTCACTAAGATAAACAGGGCAGGTTAATTTATTAAACTCATGAAGAAATTGTGCAATTTAAACTTTACCTGATTTGATCTTTTCAGCTGTCACTATCTCTCTATGTCACATTGATGTTACAAGAGTCAGGCAGCAGGATCCCAAGTGTTACAATGAGTTTGACTGATTTTCTGAACCAGGGGTAAAAAAAGGCATAGATGATAGGGTTTAGGGAGGAGTTAAAGTAAATCAAATATATGACAAAAGTTGCCGATGATGCGTTGAGCAACTGGTCCTGGCCTGTGAGAGCAACACAAAAATATGGGCACATGCACAGAAGGAACACAACAACGACTACACCAAGCGTCCTGGCTGCTTTCATCTCAAATTTCATTCTGGTGAGGGGGCCCTGCAGTGCCGGGGTTGCAACCTGAGAGCGCATCGCCCGAGCCTGAGACGCCGCCACAGTGAATATTCTCATATACAAAACCACAATAACTGTGATGGGGAGAATCAAGTTCAAGGTCATATCAACAAATCCCACAATGTAGTTGATGACAATGATACATTCGCCATAACAGGAGTTATACCTGCCCGGCTGCTGCAGGTCATCCTTCAGAATCACACACTGAAAGATCACTGAGCCAGACCAACACAGGCACACACAGAAATTCACTAGTTTCTGTGTCATTCTAGTGGAGTATTGCAAAGGATAACAAATGGCTACATAACGGTCAATAGATATCAATACCATTGTTGTTATCGAGGCTCCAGTGATAGTATAACCCAGGTACTGATACAAAACACAGATTATGTCACCGAGGAACCAGCAGCCATTTATAAGAATAATCTGAATGAACATGAGGAGACCAACGAGGAAGTCTGAGACAGTCAGAGAGAGGAGAATAACATTGGTGGGAGTATGAAGCTGCCTGTGGAAGAAGACCAGAGAAATGTGATACTAACTGACACATCAGGTACCAAACTAAAAATGTACAACACGACAAAACCTGGAAAGGGTCCCACCTGAAGTGAGAAATGGCGATAATGACTAGCAGGTTCAGAATTACAGTGAGGACAGAGATAACAGACAGCACAATGTAAACCAGCATGACCTCAAAGTAGGGACGCTTTGGCCTCCTGCAGGAGGAGTTGAACATTTGTGGAAAACAGAGTTCAGTTTCCTCCATCGCTGTCAACCAGAACAGCAGCTCAGCTCCAACTGCTTTCTGGCTGCAGCTTTTTTTATCCTCCTCCTCACGCTACTCCCCATGGAAATTATGCTTTGAGAATTTTTAAATAATCGTAATGAATTATTGATTGGGATGATGAAGCATGTTCATCTTCCCATGTTTTCTAATGAACTATTTTTTATTTTATTTTCCTTTTTATCCCTTCACTGGCTTTATGATGTAAAGCACTTTGAAATGGCTTCCTGCTGAAACGTTCTATACAAATAAAATTTGATTGATTGATTGATTTTATTGATTGGCTATAGCGAACATTCCAGGGAATTTAAAAATATAAAGTACATGATAACAGACAAAAAAAGAAGAGACGAAATTTCATTAAACCTGTCTTAGATGCAGTAGTCTGTCAGTAGTTGCATTTTACGCAAATTTAAATTTTGAAAAGAAATTTCTTTAATTTAAAAGAGGAACTGCATTAAATATTTAAATGTTTCTGCTCCAGGATGAGGTGTTTTTTTTTTGCATATTGAAATACCGTATTTTCCAGACTATAAATCATTCCTGAGTACAAGTCGCACCAGCCATAAAATGCATGATAAAGAAGGAAAAGACAAATATAAGTTGCATTTTTGAGGGAAATTCTTTTAATAAAATCCAACACCAAGAACAGACATGTCATCTTGAAAGGCAATTTAAAATAAAAATAGAATAGAGGCAACAACAGGCTTACAATAAGTGTACGGTATGCTAACGTTACATGACAAACTGAGACAGCCTGGTATGTTAACATAACACATTGAGTTATTCAGATAACTATAGCATAAATAACATGCTGACAAGTTTACCAAACCATCCCTGTCTCTCCAAATCACTAAATCGAATAAAATCTTTATCCTCGTGTTGGACTCCACTAACTCCGAAGGTAGAATAACACAGGCCTAGAGCGCCCTCTTGCAGTTTAGTGTGAAAATAACATGTGATATGATATAATAATGTGTTAATTTCCAAGTCACTCCGGAGTATAAATTGCACCCCCAGCCAAACTATGAAAAAAACTTATAGTCTGGAAAATACGGTAGTTGTATTTCACAAAACTGCATTGGAAACACTTTTTTTTTTTTTTTTTTGCAATGTATGAGTCACATGATCAACAACCAGATGCTACTACAGGCAGAAAAGCCCAAAGAGGTAGTTAGTTTGTTTTGGTTTGTCACACAATGTGCAGCTGTCTCCACCAGAGCTCTGACAGCGTCTAAACATGTCTGGACCATTTCAATTGCAGCGGATTCCAGTTATCAAATCTAAGCATATGGGTCATTCTATAATTGCAGATACATTTGGCATCTCAAGAAATTCATTTTTATTAACCCATGTTATTGAAAACATGTTACAATTAACTACATACTAATTTGACTTTTTTTCAAGATAAACATTTTGGATACAGTCCAATATGTTAACTCTATTATGGAAAATGTTGATAATGTGTTAACAAAACAACATATTCTGAAAGACTAAATTTTCTTTATTAGCCTTTATTACACTGGTCTGATACTAAACTATTACAAACTGAGACATCTAATTTGCAAATAATTATTAAAGCTCATAAAATACCAAGATTTCTTTCAGAAAACATGATACAGCCAACAACATATAGAATATATAAAACAATAATTTTCTCTTTTTTGTGAAAAAAAAAACAGCAGTAATAGGCAAAACAATTGCTTAACATTTCATTGGGGGATTTTGTTTATTTGCTTTTGATGAAAAACAGAATTAAAAAGCAATTCTGGTGCCATTGGACCTTAAAGCTTCCAGAATTATGGGGGACATGGTAGTAAATGTCAGAACAAGAAACAACCTTCTGATTATATGTCAGAAGGAGTATACCACATTATAAGAGTTTCTTTCATTTGAACGTTTGATGAAAATATTTTCCTATATTCATTCTCATGTAATACCTCCCCATATTAGCATCATGATTTTCACATGCTGAGACGCAACTTTGGTTGGATACGGAATCAGTTTACACCACAACACATTTTCTTGAGCTGAGCAGACAGCAGTTCTTTCCACCTGTGTGTTTGGCTTCGCAACATCTTGATTCTCCCTCCAAATAACAAACACTTGGTCTTCAATCGTTTTGAGTGGCTCTACGGGAAAGTTCAAGGTTTTGATGTTGTAACACAGGCACATTAGATCATGCTTTGTGAAGCATGAGCAACTACAGAAGCAAATAATCTTATATTATAAATTATAATAAAACTTGTATTTAAATCACAGATATCTGTTGCCATATCCTTCCTGACTTGTCCTTTCCTAAGTGAAATTAACTTTTATAACTACGTTAAATTTTTCATCATGGAGCCCAAGATTCCTGGCAGTGACCCCGCTCTGATGAATTGCTTTTATTCAGAAAATCCTATCAAAAAATGTTTTTTTTTTTGTTGTTTTTTTCAATTTGACTTTGTTATCTTACTCTTACATTGTTTTTTCCATGTATCATACAAATATTGTGCAGTTAAACTGATCAACTAAGTTTAGAAAATATGTATCAATGTGTGACTGCATTTAATTACCTAAGTATTGGTTTATTATGACTATTGTTAGTTTAATACCAAGAAGTAGCTGTGGTTGAGTAATTAACTCTCTTTCCATTAATTTCTGCATTCTGTGGTGTACATGAAGCAATGTCCTTAAATATTTGTCAAAGTTCTAAACATTGGAACAAATGCTTAGAACATTTGAACAATGTGGTTGTTCTTGTGGTATTGCTGTCAGAAGAACTGGTCTTCACTTCATCCCTGGTTTTATAACTTGTTGTTTTAATTTTATTTCATCAATCACATTTCAGCCACAGTCACTCATGAAAACATTTTTCCTACATAAACATTTTCTTTTCAACCATTTTTAGTCATTTGTCTGGGAGTTGGCAGAGAAGAAATGTATAACTTAAATGAAAGTAAATTAAATAATGTTGAACCTGCCAGACAGTGCTCTGAGCAAATGACAAAAATGATCAAACTACAGTTTCTTTATTTTATGGTATAATGTGCAGAGTGCACTAAAATAGCATATTTGCATGGAAAAAAAACAAACTTTTTTCCATTTTACAGAGATCTTCAGTTGAGTTGCTCATCTACACACATAAGTGTCTTTTATAGGCAAATGACTACATACTAATGTCACAGGAGTCATGGTGGAATATTTGAAGAGTAAATATGAGCTTAATTGATTTTCTGAACCAGGGGTAGAAAAAGGCATAGATGATGGGGTTTAAGCAAGAGTTAAAGAAGAACAAACATATGACAAATGCGGCAGATGAAGCACTCATAGAGTTGCCTTCCCCTGAAAGGGCAACACAGTAATATGGACACATACACAGCAGGAACACCAGCACCACGAGACCTAGAGTCTTTGCTGCCTTCACCTGGGATGTTTTAGCCGTTACAGAATGTCGGAGACTGATGGCTGTGGTGTGAAAGCGCATGGCACGAGACTGAGACATGGCTACCACAAACACTCTGAGATACAAAACTACAATAACACCGATGGGAACAATGAAGGAAAATGCAAGATCAGCATATCCTGCAATATAGCTAATTACAAAGGCACACTCTCCAATGCAGGAGTTATACTTACCTGGATGCTTTAGGTTCTCAATCAGAATCAGACTCTGAAATACCCAAGAACAGATCCAGCACAGGAAGATGCAGACCTTTACTCTTCCTTGTGTGATTTTGGTGGAGTAATGCAGGGGATAACAAATCGCTACATATCGGTCAAAAGATATGAGCACCATGGTTCCTATTGATGCAGAGGTGATAACATACGCTAAATACTGATACACAGTGCACATAATGTCACCGAGAAACCAGCAGCCGTCTAGGACAGCAGTTTGAAAAAACAACACGAGGCCCACAGAAAAGTCTGAGATGGCCAACGAGAGGAGCAGGAGGTTGGTGGGAGTGTGCAGCTGCCTGTGGAAGAACACAATACTTTTAGATATCTATATCTGTATAACTGAACATTAATTATAATAGCTGGTGTATAAAAACATTCTTTAAAACTCCTGGGCGTGTACCTGAAATGTGAGATAGAGATGATGACCAGCAAGTTTAGAAAGGCTGTCAGGACAGAGATGGAGGACAGCACAATGTACATGAGTACAATCTCAAAGTGAGGAAGAGTCAGCTTCTTGCAGGAGGAGTTGAAGAACTCTGGGAAGCAGAGTTCAGCTTCCTCCATCATCTCTGGTGGAACAAGACTCTAAACTATGGTGACCTCAGTTTTTTGTTTTTTGATAACCTGTGAGATTATCTCCACCCTCCTCTTCTTTCTCCATGCCTCAGGAGTTCAACCTGCTCCATGGAGATGTAGTTTCTTTATTTTTTTTTCTTTTTATGTCAAGCTTCAACAGCTTCCACTTTGGGTTTTCTGGTTCTTTTTCAATACTTTTTTTTTGTGCAATGTTGGAATGACATGTAACTCTTCCAAAGCAAGTGGTCTTTTCTTACCTATTAGATGTCCAACAGACAAGACAGAATGACAGATGCAATGGAATGAGAAAAAAATTCCAACACCTAATTTAATTTTCCATAGGTAAAAAAATATATACATAAGATCATAGAAAAGTTGGTCAATAGAAAACCATGTGTTCAACCCATAGCAAAAACATTGTGTAGGAAAACAAAGGCTTATCTAGAAATCAATCATGTTATAATTATAGAAATAGTACATATACTTGGCTGTGAAGTGGTTTGAGGTGGATATGTTACAATTCTAGTATAGAAAAACACCTGCTGGTCAAATGTACAAAACCTTAACGTGGTCAACTGGTCACAGTCTGAAGACATGACTGGCTCGCTTAAACTATTGTACCTGCAGTCCTTTGCTAGTTTCTGTAGCAACCAGAATGTGCACACTCAGATCAGTATGGAGCCCCTAAAGAGACACGTGGGGACACGTCCCCCATGGCCCCAACCTCCATCTTCCCCTGGTTTCTATGCCTATGGAACCAGAAAACGAGATGGGGTTGTTTCCAAAGGTAATAAAACTTTGGAGACAACCAAAGTTTTATTATTATCCAACAGATAATAACAATGTATCTGTTTGGGTCAGCACTCAGCCCTTAGCTACTTGTATTTGTGATTTCTAATGGTGAATGTAGCCGTTCAACATGGTGAACAACAGCAACTAAAAATACTTCCAAGCTCACACCCCTCCATCACGGTTTTGCACCTCAGAAATGTCAGATCCTGTGTTTGACAGTCAGCTTCAGTCTGCATCAGTCCTGTACTTTTGTCTGGAACTTCTTTGTGGCCTGATGCCTGTTGACAGACATCTGTCACACCCTTAGCTGGATCCTCCATATACATTATTATTTGAACTGATGCCACATAGGAATGTAACTGGTTGTTCAGCAAAGGTTTGAAAGCTTCATGAAGAAAGACTCCAGGCTGGGATTAAAACTCCTGGCTCAGCTGCAATAATCTGGAAACCACAAACAAATCAGACTAAAAACTACAATTTCCAATGTTGCACATTATTATGTTTATTACCGATCTGAACTTGAAGATGATGGTTCTCTGGCTATAAGCTCACACTTGTTGACCTTTTGGCTCAGTCTCATTTCTTTTGTAGCCTCCACCAGATTCTGTCCATTTAAAGTCTGGCCTACTTGCTGAGGAAAAGCATCCTCCACACAATGCTACCACTGCGTACATTCAGTGAATATATGTCTTTCTGTCATGTCCCCTACCTGGCTTTTATTAAACCTCTTTTCCAACAGCAGCTCTCCTTCAGATCTTTATGGCTTGAGATTTTTCTCAAATTTTTGTGGTTATAACATGACAAGATATGAAAAGTCTCAATAGGTCTGATTCTCTTTGCATTAAGGCGTTGAATGTGCCAGTTGAGACCATCAGTCGGGACATGTTGTTCAGGCCTTGCTGCTACTGTGTTTCCTACTTGCAGGAGAAGTAGCCTGTCTGTCTGCATGTTTCTTGTTTGTTCAAAACCTTTGAAGAAATGTTGTCAGAGCAGGTAAAGAGTTCCTGTCTCAAGACAAACTTTGAACTTGCTCTGAAATTAGAACAGAAAACTGCAGACACATCATGATTTATTCATACATCATGTGCTTAACATGCACATGTTTTATTCAATAAAAGTAAGAAGCAACTTCTGACAGTCACATAAAAAGGAGGGACAGAGTTTTACTTGGTAGATGTAAAAAGGAATGAAACCAAGAAGAAAAAGGATGATTTGAACATATGCTGAAACTTTTACTAGTATGTGAGTATTATACCAATAATAGCTTGACAATATGCTTTCCTGCATTGTTTTTGTTTTCACACCACACACACGCAACCACACATTCTAAGCTCAGGTCCATTGTCTGGGTTTAAGGAAACACTTTCATTAGAAGCTAAACAAAACAAACATCCATGAGGTTAATGGCTCTCTGATGAGTTTCTCAGGTCCACGATTCACACCTTCCTGTGTTAAAGCGTATTCTCAGTGGAATCCTTCCAATCAGAGGTGTCAAACTAATCTTGGGTTCCATAGTAAACATGTCTGCACCACACATGATGCAAACAGCATGAAAAGAAACAAAATGCAATTTGTTATGTTTTTAATTTATCAGAAGGTTCACAAAGGTTTGAAGTTTGTACTTTCTTTCTCTTCCTATCTGGCGATTAGATTAGTGAAAGAATATTTTCTCTTTCTTAAACTTGGTCAGAAACTCAAAGGTCTGGTTTGTTAGAAGGTTTTTGTGATGTAGAATAATGGGACTTTGATAGATAAATTCAAAAGTTTTTTTTAAAGGATCCTAACATATACAGTATCATGTACCATTCAAGTGAGAAACAAAGACATTTCTTAGGGGAAACAGGATCAGAATTCCAAAGCCACAACCAGTTACAATTCTGCTTACCCTAAAATAAAGTTCATGCCCAAGCACGGTGATCCAGAAGTTCGCTAGTTCACATCATTCAACTAAAACCACAGCTTGACGAGAAACTTGAAAGTCTCAGAATGCTTTCACTGTAAATACACATCAATCAGGAGCAGAAGGAATTCATGAGAGGAAATCCACAACTTTAACAAAAAAAAACAGTCACCATGTCACAGTAGTTGAACAAATCAGAAATATAAAACTCTGAGGTATTTTGAACATTTTTTTTTTTTGCAGAGCATTTTTTTGTTTAGTGATTTGGCTAACTTTAAAATGTTTATCACTCTTAGCTTCCCCTTTGTAAACTTTAGCTATTAAATTCAAAAGCACTAATTTATTTGACTGTTTTGTGTCATAATGCGAGGTTTCCAGGACTCTAAGGCAGGCAACAACTACGGACACTCAGTTTTAATAAATTTATTAAACAGGGAAGTGTGTGGAGGAACGTCGATCTGCGACAGCAGGGAGGGACCGGGTCAGCGGAGGAACTAAAAGAGGAAGCGGTTAAAGAGGGAACTATTGAAGGGAACGACAGGCAACCTGATGGTAGCTTACGGTCAGCGGGTTGAGGTAGGCAGAGGGGAGTACTTGGGATTTCCAGCAGTTGGCGTGGTGTGGTGGTTTCCAGACAGAGGGGTGTGACGTACCCAGGTGCAAGGCCCAACAGAGCAGCGAGGATCAGATCCTTCAGGTGAGTCTGTCCAGAGGGTGGGTTCACTAGAGGAAGGAGTAGACTGAAAAGAGTCAAAACAAGGAGGACACAGGAAATACAGCACTGATTGCTACAGAGTACCACAGTAGAAGAACTCTGCTCTGCTCCTTTAAGGACCTTGCTTAGTGGTGATGAGCAACAGCTGGATGCCATCAGCCTGCCACCCTGTGAAGGAGAAGAAAACCACTCCCCTGCAAAACTCAACAGTTTTGTAATCTTTCAGTTAAAACTTAAAGATTGGTTTCTGAACAGGATGAACGTCTCATTACTTGTGGAAAAAAGAAATAACCCAAATAATGATTTCATGATAATATTTTTTCATTGGTTGAAATATTTTGCATAAAAACTTTGCAATTTAACAATGGGTTCAAGGGTACAAGTTTGTGCCTTTTGAGAGGCACTTTAATTTGCTGCACATATCAAGCAGAGTCAGGAATAAACAATTAAGCCCAAAATTCTTCATACCCCTGACTGAGTTAATATTATTTACAGTCAATCAGGAAGTTTGTTTCTGGCAGAAAATGAGACGGGGTTGTTTCCAAAGGTAATAAAACTTTGGAGACAACCAAAGTTTTATTATCATCCAACAGATAATAACAATGTATCTGTTTGGGTCAGCACTCAGCCCTTAGCTACTTGTATTTGTGATTTCTAATGGTGAATGTAGCCGTTCAACATGGTGTGAACAACAGCAACTAAAAATACTTCCAAGCTCACACCCCTCCATCACGGTTTTGCACCTCAGAAATGTCAGATCCTGTGTTTGACAGTCAGCTTCAGTCTGCATCAGTCCTGTACTTTTGTCTGGAACTTCTTTGCGGCCTGACGCCTGTTGACAGACATCTGTCACACCCTTAGCTGGATCCTCCACATACATTATCATTTGAACTGATGCCACATAGGAATGTAACTGGTTGTTCAGCAAAGGTTTGTTTCTAAACACGACATGACTGTATCTACACAAAAGCTCTGACAGCCTTTCACCATCCTATCATTTCTTATAAGGCCATATGTTGCTGTGTTCTTGGCAGCTGAATCAGCCATCACCTTCACATGTTGACAAAACTAAAATCCATCACCACAAATCATGGCAAGTTGTTACATTTTTTATTCTGAATCTTCATAAGGTAAATGTTAAGCATGAAGAGAATGAGAAATAGTTTAAGGTGTACAAATTGTTTTCTTAGTTTAAGTTGTAGATCAGTAATGGCAGAGCTCCACTTCATCTCACATGTCAGTAAGGTGGAGGTGGGCCCATCTCCAGCAACCTTTAGCTGTATTCCTGTCTGTGACTCTTATTGAAATGATGGGACCCATCTGTATTTTTGGAGTTATTACTCTCTCCTTAATGGATGAAAATAAACAAGCAAGATAACAAGAAACATTTTATTTTGTCTATTTGCAAAATAATACTGCACTCTTCCACAAGTCTATTTTTCAATGAAAACCAAAATCTCCCTTTTATATTATATATTCTGGTCTGAGCTTTTTGGATTGACTGCGAGTGCTGTAGTTGTTTGGTAATTAGCCACACACACACACACACACACACACACACACACACACACACACACACACACACACACACACACACACACACACACACACACACACACACACACACACACACACACACCTACACACACACACACACACACACACACAGGCAAAGGTATTACAAACTAATGCACGCCCCTCCAGTAGGGGTTGGAAGTCTCCATGGACATCAATTTTTCTTTTTGAATAGGAATAAATTTGATAAGTCAGCCTCTTCTAGAAGGGTTGGCCACAGTTTCATGTTTTCTTTATTTGTAAATAAATGAGTGAAAAAGATTTTGATATGGCTCTGATAGATATCAATGACTCTGTTCTTCAGGTTCCTTAAAGTAGGAAAACTGTTATGTAATTTTACAAATTTTAGTTTACTTTAATGTTATGAGGCAGGGCCTTTTCAGTAGATCCATTCCACACATCTGACAATAATTGGGATTTTGTGTGGCTTCATGCCAAACCATTTAATTGTGGGAAAAAAGGAATATGAAGAAGAAGAAGAAAAACTCTGAGGTTTTTGTTTTTCGGAGTATCATCTGTGACTGTTATGTTAATTACATCAAAACATTGAATTCCAATCAGGAAAACATCAGTATACTGGTGAGAATTAATGTGTTTTTATTGAGAAAGATGAAGACACATCACAACAAGAATACAGCTTAATAAAAGCATAAAACATTTATAAATGATATATGTTTCAATAAAAGTGATTTAAAAATAAAATAAAGAAAGTAATCTGATACATCTTAGTAAATGCAGATTTTTTTCTCTACATCTGAGAAAAAAACTCAGTGGTTGAGAAACATAGCGACAAGATTTTGGGGATTTATTTTCATAATTTTTTTAGCTTCTGTTTAATATTTACATACATTAAATGCGTTCAGAGTTTCATGAAAAACTTTTAAATCATTTAAACTTTGTTATACCTGAAGCCTGATATTTACAGAAGCTCCATCAAACTGGAAGGGAATTTAGAGACCAAAACAAATGAATAAAAGAACAAAAAGAAGACAAAAAATTGCTTTAGTACCAGTGATTTTAAAAGTGGTAATCCATGTGGGTAAACTGAATTTGCAATTTCTTAAACCATCAAGGAAGATGGAAAAAATTATAAAAACTGACTTATATTGACTTGAACAGCTTCACGTCAGATTTCCCATCCAAACATAAAACCCTCAGAAAGCTTCTCTAAACTGTATTTACATAACATTTATTACCAAGTCATGAATTATTGTCGTCATGGTCTGGCGTGAATGTGAACAATCTCTTTAGGCAGTCTTTGGCTCCCCCTGCTGGTTTTGTTCGGTAGAACTCTAGCAGTACTGAGGGTTTACCACTGCCTGTTCAAGTGCAGTGATAATCCTTCAAACACTTAACCTAAGACTGCATCATTTGGTAAATGTCTTCATGCTGCCTCTTCTGGGTTGGAGGCTTCATTACCACGTAGGTGCAGTTCTCTTTGGTGTTTTTCTGGAACAAAAATACAAAAGAGAATTATTTAAACAGCTCATTAAAAGTTTTACTTTATCATAACTTCTGGTTTCTCTCTAGAGTTTAAACAAACAGAAGTCAATATTTAAGACTAAATGGACAGAGTATTTGGGAAGTATCAGGTCTGGGTCAGGTTCAGACATAAGAACCTGCTGGCTTCTGAGTTGATTCCAGCGCTATTTTTACCACCGTTACATTCTGTTGATGAACATTTTGAAAACTGCAAAACAAAATTCTTTGCTGGAATTTACAGATATAAACCAACCAACAAAGCTCTCTGGTTCAGAGCAATGATTATGAAACAGAATGTTGTCATGGTGATCTGGCTGCTCAGTTATGCTTTTTATGTTTGTCACCATTCAGGTAGAGACAGAATGTGTTAAGTGCATGGCCATGTCACAACAAGCAGAAAAAAAGTGGAGGTTTACTATTTTTTTTTCTCAAGCAAAGGAGGAAATCAAACACTCAGAGATAAACTATCCATTTCTGTCTGGAGTCGATTCCTCTTTCGAGATTTCACATTTTAAAAGTCCGGAAAGCTTTTTGAGCTAATTCATTTGTGATTATTTCTAATTTTAACCATGTTCACATACACCTGAGTTTTATTCCTGAGATTGCATAGCAGAATCTGATGGTTTACTGCAAAGGACACATTATCTTGCAATAACAGGCACTTGAAGCCATTTCACCATTATAAGATGGTGAGATCTAAACAATACTACACTTTGAAGGCTTTGGGAGATCAGATGAGATGACAGGATCATTTCAGAAGATTGAAGTTAATGTGTGTATCCTGCAAAACCTTAGTGGAAGATCTGAAGATGTTCTGAGATCTGAGAAGTTTGGATGCAGCAGACAGGAAACAGACAAAGCTTATGTTTGACTGTTGTCACTTTTCAGATGTATGTAAGTGACATCTCCGAGTTCAGCTATTGATTATGTATCTAACTATAAAAACATTGTATTTTTCATTAAGCTAATGTCCAACATCCTTCATAACCCTGAAAAACGTCTATCTTATCAACATGTTTCTTCAAACAGAAAGTAATATTAATATTAACATTTGAAGTGGCCTCGTCAGAGTCCAGACTTCAAGCTGATAGCAAATCAGCAGAGGGAAGTAAAGATTAGGGTCTTGGCAAAGAGCTCTTCCAAACTCAGAGACTTGGAGCTCATCATCCAGGAGAAATTGTCAGAATGTCAGTGGAAATGTGCATCAATAAAAATGGTTGGACTGCTGTAGAGTCAAAGTCAATGTTTTTTTTCCCGTTTATTATTACCAGTTGTTTTATTATTTATTAACTCTCTCATTCCCGACCTGTTCGGTTAAATAATTTCAAATCTAACTTGTAACAACAGTGAACTTGACTGTATAAAACATGGAGCCACCTCTTAATAACACAAAATCTTTAGGTTATTTTTCCTTAGAAACAGCTCAGTGGTAGCTTCTGAAATAGATTATTGAATTGCATGGATACATAAACCCAGTCATGTTTTTTGTACAGGTGTTAGCAAGCAAAGCTCTCAGGCTGATGCATTTTCAGTCACTCAGACCTTTCAGTGTATCTGGGCCCAGTCAGACACCTTGATGAATACCAGACTCTGTTCTAACCACAAACTAGCTTTGTCTTTATTTCTAGCACCAGGTGTGGTTTAGAGATTTATGCACCGATTCATTTTTTCCAGTGTTGCCCTATTTCTATTTCCTGTTTTTTTCAAACGCTATCCTTTTTTGTTTCAGAGGAATAATGTCATATATAAATGTTTTTAGAGTGAAATTACAAATCTGATCATATGTTCCAACATGTGTCACATTGGTACATTGGTACAGCATGATTCTATGAGAAGCTCAAAGTGGAGTGTGACCTGCTGTTTTCATCTGTTTCAAATGACCTTTTCAGCTACATTTTCTATATTTCATTTTATTTGCGTGGTGTGGGAGGGAAGTGTGAAATAAATCATTTCCTCCACTCTGACAGCTGTCAGTGGGAACTGTTACAACACACAACCCAGGCCTTTTGTTCTGAAGGGGCATCAGCACTCACACCGAGATCATCCAGAGAAAGAGGCTGAATGTGGAGACATAACTGTAGTTTGAAAACAAAGCGGGGGAGTTGATTAATGCAACACTTTCCTCATAAAGTAAGAATTTGATTTTCATATGTATTTTTTGGATAGTCTCCATGCTGGAAAGTTTCCTATAAACACATTCTTCATGAAGAAGATTCCGTAAACTTTAAAATGAGTAAAATCAGTAAATCAGTTACCCAGACTGTGGCTTTCAGTCTGAAGTACAGGCAGGTGATTACACAGCTGTACAGGAACATCAGGACCAGAAGACCAATCAGAATCCATCCCAGCGCAGACCTATCAAGAGAAGGGCAGTCCTCTTTCCCTGATTACAAACAAGACAAACCACAGAAACGTGAAAATAGACCTTAGAAATGAATTCATCTTGGAATAGTCTGACTGTACAGACACAGATCTACTACGTGGTCCCATTACTAGTGACAACACATTATTTTAGTTTCTACATTTTAGTCCAAGAACCAATGATTTCAAATTGTGCAGCTCTTTTCTGCCTTTGGTGAGAAGGAATCATATTGTGAGATGAATGACTTCCTCTTCACTGACAGCTGTCAGTGTGAACCACTCCAGCTGTCAGAGCTCTGCTACATTATGCAGGCAGAGATTAGCTAATAAAAATGGATTCACTGGCCACGGTAGGTGGTAAGAGCAAATACTCTGCAAATACATACAAACAAGAAAATCTGTATCATGACATGCACATTTAAATAAAACCGCATTCAGACTTGTGTTTCTGCTGAAGGTATATATTAATTTAATACACTACAATATTAAGAAGTCCAATTATGCGAGGATTTTTATTACTAAGTGAGACATGTTATATAGATTATTTGCACACAGATGGATAGAGCCTTTATTTCTGTTAATTATAAGATTTTTTCAATTAGACATAATAAAACCATAATATTTAAGGCTCAAATACAACATTAGACCATTAAAACATATTTAATACTGAAATGTGGGCTTGTTTAATGCCATCTTCAAAGTAATTTTCAGAAGATACTTTGACAATAGGCCTCACGCTCACAAAGATTGATTTATTGAATATGACTGCATTTATAAGGATTGCAGTCTATTTTACCACGAGAAGCATTAGTGTTTGTGACAACCAGACGCTGGCTAGTGAGAGATTGATTTTCATCTCTTTTTCATTGAATTCTTTTTTTCAAGCGATAAACATTAATATATTTGTTTTTGTAAATACTTACTTTCCTGTAGTTTTTTTAGTTTTCCTCTTTCAATGTAAACCACATCCTTTTTTTTAACTATTTTTTCACACTGATAGGTAAATTTCATTTCTTCTGGTCCAACTTCTTGTAAAATGAAAACAACCTTGCTCTGATCACACTGATGTGTGATGACAGTTGAGCAGGAATCTGTGATGCTCTTCTGATCGACCATATGTTCTGAGTTATCTCTAAAAGTTGAAACATAAATCAAATATTTAGTCAACTAAATGCACAGATAAATACCTATTTATATAGGAACTGACTTCTGGTCTTTATTGATAAATAAATGTAGAAGCCATTACCAAGATACTCACTGTGAAATCCTGTATAATCGTGCTATCTGAATGGTGGATCCCTCTGCCTTCGGTTCACAGCTGATTGAGGCGGTTTGGTCTGGGTTCACATGCTGAACCTCCGGCTGGATCACATGAAAATCTGACAGTTGAAAAAAATTAGTAAGGAAACACAGAGCCAGGTAAGATCTGCTGGCTCACTTTGATTGAATAAAACTAATTTATACTAAAACAGTATGAAAACTGATTCTTTGCAACAAAGAAGTTTCATGCTGCATTGCTGTGTTTACTGAGATGACACTTCAGGCCAGAAATGCAAATACTGTAACTACTTTAATTTATTTCAAAGAATGTCAGTGATTGTGCCACATGCATAAATCTCAGCAAGTAAGTGTGTTTCCTTTTCCAAAAGTGGAAAATAAATCATTTGTACTTCAGCCATTGCTGAAGTATTCTTATGTTGAAATTAAAATAAATTCAAAGAAACACTTTCTGACTTGATTTTGATTTGGGTTACATACCATATAACAGTGTGGTGTTTATTCCGTTCCTGGTGTAATCTGCACCGCCATACTCCATTGTTATCTCACACTGATAGGTAGCTCTTATTGCTTCTGGTTTAATGTTTCGTAAAGTGAAGACAAACTTGGTGGAACTCAGAGTCAGGTTGACATCTTTACAGGATGGTTCTCCCTTCTGACACAGCATCTCTGGTTTGTCATTCCTAAAAGTCAAAGCATAAATCAGATACTGAATCAACTTATCTGGCAAATTCAGAGCAAACTATTTATTTGCACTTCAATATGAATGCAAAAGTTTTTCATGCAACCCATGAAGAATAAATGAGGAAATACAACAGACATTATTAGGAATGGAAATATGTAATATCTTAACATATTTACATTCTGCTGTGATCAATCAGTGGTAGACTGTAAAGAGCTTGCTCGCACCATGATGCACAGTGGTATCTGGTTTGTGTGGGTTTACTCTTGTTCCTGTCTCATGTTGTTTTTGTCCATGTTTAACCAAGGCAAACATATTATGATCACCCAACTAAATGTTTAGTTTTCTTAACTGAATTTATTAAGTGTGTTTAAAATTACAAATTAAAGTCAGTCTTTCTCAAATCATTTAGTTGACATGTAATTCAAATAAAGAAGAAATCTAACAAACAATCTTTTTATCAGGGTTTTTAGGCTCAGGCAGCCTTGATTTGAGAGAAGTTAGACAGGAAATTGAGTGATGACAGAGAGAAGACATGCAGCAAAGGTCATCAGACTGGAATCTAACTTACAACAGCCACATAGAAGATAAGGTTTCCTTATGTGTGCTGTGCTGAACTACTGTGCCAGCAGCACGTGATTTATTCAGCTTCTGTCTCTGGTGAAGCTTGCATCATGACATCAGACAAGCTTCAAACGCTGCATTGAACTTTTCAGAGTTCAATGCAGTGTACTCTAACAATACACATTTGAGAGAACACTCTCAAAAGTGAATTTGAAACAATTAAGTTCAATGCTGCATTCACATCCTGTCTTATGTCATAACGCAAGCTTCACCAGGACAGATCCTGTATCAGGATCCTGGGTGAAGGCGCAGGGATACCAGGAGACCTTAGTCCTCGACGTGGCCCTTATCCGTATATCATTATCCAGCCTGATAACTTTATGTGTGTGTATTTATTAAGTTAAACCAACTTAATAAATGGATAAACTATTTTCTCTTTTTAAGTGTGCAGAATCTTTGAAAAACTAAAATAACATGTTTAAAATACATTTAAAATTATTTAAATTCAAGCTGTATTTTAAGTACACTGTGAGTGATAATGTAGCTTTGGATATTTTCGTTTTTCAGTTTGAAATAATTTGATGTTCAATTTGTGTTCACTTTCTGTAGAATTTACTCAAAGAAATTTGAATTATTTATCATGTTATTTATTTAAAATAAATAATTTAAAAATAAATAATGTGAATAAGTGTTTAACATTTGTAATGTTAAACACACTTAAAGAGTAAAGTTGTAAAATCTTAGCAAACTGAGTTGGATAAACTTCATGTATTGAGTTGGATGATCATAAATTGATTTGGTCCGATATAGGATACAAAACAGGCATTGAACTCAGTTGTTTCAAGTAAAGTCAAAGATTAAGTTAATTTAGTTGATTTAGGTTTGTTAAATTTGTAACTTTTAAGTTAATCGAACACAAAAACGTATATCATTAAGGCAAAGGAATGACCTACTATAAGCCGCTACTTTTTTCCCATGCTTTGAACAATGTGTGGCTTTTCTGTCCATTTTTCTTCAGCCACCAGTGGGCTCTTAATCAGAAAGTGACTCATTGGAACTCAAAGAAGAAAGCATTAATTTTTATTTAGAACAAGCACATGCTAGCAGCAGGCATGATGGAGAAATTTCTTCAAACTCATACTTCCTCCGTATGGAAACCATACGAAGAAGTGAGAAGCAGTTTTTAAGTTGAAGTTCACCGATCAGTCAGTACAGACTGATCGCCGCTGCACAGAAGCTCAGCCTGAGCAAATCCATGGTTTGGTGTTGAAGACACAGCTCCTTGCTCCATCATAGTCTTATCTAAATAAGACTATGATGAACTACACCCAAAAACAATTTCAGAGAGTAGATACCAGAGAGTTGTGAACCTTGCGACAAGTTCACAACTCTCTTGTGAGTGAATTCATTTTTCCACACAACTAAACATAAATATTGACCAACACATTTGAGGACTCACTTCTTCTCTGAGTGAAAAATGAACAGAGTTGATTTTCAGCCCCATCAAGTCTATAAAAAATAAAAAAAAATATTTGACTCAATGTGTGATTACAGCAACCATCACCACAGCACTCACTGTGAAATTCTGTACAGTCGAACATCCTGAAGCTTAGATCCATATGAATCATGTTCACAGCTGATTGAGGCGGTTTGGTCTGGGTTCACATGCTGAACCTCCGGCTGGATCACATGAAAATCTGACAGTTGAAAATAATTAGTAAGGAAACATAGAGCCAGGTAAGATCTGCTGGCTCACTTTGATTGAATACAACTAATTTATAATAAAACAGTATGAAGACTGATTCCTTGCGACAAAGAAGTTTCATGCTGCATTGCTCTGTTTGCTGAGATGACACTTCAGGCCAGATATCCAAATATCGTAACTACTTTCATTTATTTCAAAGAATGTCAATGATTGTGCCAAATGCAAAAATCTCAACAAGTAAGAGTGTTTCTTTAACCAAAAGTGGAAAATAAATAAATAAATAAATATTTGGACTTCAGCCATTGCTGAAGTATTCTTATGTTGGGATTAACATAAATTCAAAGGAACACTTTCTGACTTTATTTTGGTTTGGGTTACATACCATATAACAGTGTGGTGTTTATTCCTCTCCTGGTGTAATTCACACTACCATACCCCATTGTTATCTCACACTGATAAGTAGCTCTTATTGCTTCTGGTTTAATGTTTCGTAAAGTGAAGACAAACTTGGTGGAACTCAGAGTCAGGTTGACATCTTTACAGGATGGTTCTCCCTTCTGACACAGCATCTCTGGTTTGCCATTCCTAAAAGTCAAAGCATAAATCAGATACTGAATCAACTTATCTGGCAAATTCAGAGCAAACTATTTATTTGCACTTCAATGTGAATGCAAAAGTTTTTCATGCAACCCATGAAGAATAAATGAGGAAATACAACAGACATTTTTAGGAATGGAAATATGTCATATCTTAACATATTTACATTCTCCTGTGATCAATCAGTGGTAAATTGTAAAGAGCTTGCTCGCACCATGATGCACGGTGGTATCTCTGGTTTGTGTGGGTTTACTCTTGTTCCCATCTCATAAATAATATGACTCTTTGATAACTTAAATACAAGGAGACATCTTTGAGTTTTTGGTGATAAAAATGTCCTCCAAAATGAATGACATATATGCCTGTTGTGGTTTTAATCTGTTTACCTAAAGCTAAGATGTATCCATCTTTCCTCATGAATGCCTCTATAGCTTTAATCATAGAGGAATATTCTAACTGCATGTTATAAAAGGTTTTTTCTGGTTTGATAAATATTAATTAATATATATCATGGGGGTCAAATGAACTAAACAAAACTTAACAAATAAACATTACACTGTTTGTGTCTCTGCTCAATAGGATGGATTCTTCAGTAATTATGAACCCGTAGAGTCAAGGAGAGTGTTTACCCTGCGTTGCAGTGCAACACACACCACAACATCCAACCGGCAAGACTAGAAATGATCCTAGACCATGAATGCTCATGGTGTGTCTGAAGATGGCTCTGTAAGCACGCTAACACATGTAAGCATGCTAACACATGCATGCATACATGTGTTAGCACGTAAGCAAAATTAAACTGTTGTAATGCTGAAAAACCCTCAACTTCAAAAGGAAGTTACAATGACTGTTACCTCATAATACACTTATAATCTTACTGGACAATTGGCTCATGATCAATAGTGAACTTAAAATGTTCCACATATCTCCTGGCACATGTTTGCTTGGTTGTGCTTTCCTCACTTCATTAGCTTATATGTGTTACTGTTTCGTGTAGAACATCTGAGCCATCTAGTAAAATACAGAATTGGCAGTAAAAAATGACTGAAACATGGGAAACATTAAGGCTACCATAACTAGACCTAAAATCCCCCCAGTATTAAATTTGACAACTTCATCGGTTCAAAGGAATTGTCATGTTAAAGTTATACAGTATAATAACTGTGTAAAGGAACACAGTCATTTTGATATTAACATTAATATTAAGCTCTGTTTTAAGCGTGTGCAGTCAGACACACCACATTGTTTCAACATCTGCGCCCTTTTTAAAACGTCCACCCTGTATCTCTCCACGTCCTCAGAAGTGAAAACTAAAATGGCTGCCAAAAACAGCAAAGGTTTAGACATGAATAAAAGGGATGGGTTCTGGGGGTTTGGGACTGAGATGTGCAGAATGTGTGACAGGAGTGGAGTAAGACAGAGACTCATCCACTGGATAGAATAATTAAAATAAGAAGCAGTTTATTAAAACAATATCTAAACTCTGCTGTCTGCAGTATTCTGACTTGTACATGGAATCAATGTTACAGTCTATTTAATGGAGCTTAATTTGGTCAATTAATGCAATTAAAACTGTTGTGTAGTTGTGATACATTAATTGTGACATTATGTCAGCTTTTAGCTGAATGGGGACAAGAAAGGACACTTTCTTTAAATACACCAGCATCATGGTGACAACATGAAGCTAAAATGTGTTAACCACCATTCCCACAATACACTACAAATGTACAGTTTGAGCAGTTTTCAAAATATTTGGACTTCCTTCATATCTGTTGACCCCACATTGTGTCAACAAAACAGTTGAGAGAAGACAGATGGTATAAGAAACTCATACTGTAATAATCAAAAAAGGAAAAATATTCCTTTATGAAATCATTTGGGCCATTTTAAATAAAGCCAATAATAATATGATGCCATTGCAAAAAAAACTGTCTTAGACACATTTTCATTTTGCCAATACTTCACAACTGCATCTGATAACCATATAAAACCAATGTGACTGCATTTCTTGGGGAAACTGAATTCTTTGTTTTTACATTTTGCGAAGTTTGTTCATTACAAATTTGCAAGTATAGAATCATAATCATTTGTTTTTGCGCTTGTCTTTAAGGTTTTGAAGTGCAGTTTCACTCAATATGTACGTTTTAGATGTAAAGTTGAATCTCATTAAAGTCTGTTTATGTATGAACAGACTTTGCTTGTGAGTGTGTGCAGGTTGGCATCTGCAAATCCAACAAGAAAAATGTTTTCAAGCTGTAGTTTGAACCCCCAGTGGAACAGGAGGCACAAACAGACTGCTTTTGAAAATAAAGTTTCTCATCATGAATGTTAACTTCACAGCTCTGTCTGGGGAGAGGATTCATTTTTCAACAGAACTAAACATAAATATTCACTAACACATACTAGGACTGACTTCTTCCCTCTGTGACAAACAGCAGCCAATTCCAGCCCCATCAGGTCTAATAAAAAATAATAAATTATCTGACTCAATGCATGATTCCAGCAGACATCACTGTAACACTCACTGTGAAATTCTGTACAGTCGAACATCCAGAAGTTTATATCCATGACCCTTGTCATGTTCACAGCTGATTGAGGCGGTTTGCTCTTGGTTCACATGCTGAACTGAGACTGATTTTGGCTGGATCACCTTAAAATCTGAGGGTTGAGAAAGAAATAGGTTGTTCCTGGGAACTGCAGTTAGGTAACCACTACAAATATTGTATATTAGAAAGTATATGTTAATGCAGCAGTACAAATCTGAAATTAAAAGGAGTTATAATTCTTTTCTCTAAAGAGAAAAGTTTTAAAAAAGAAAGGTTTTCTGAAGTCCCAGGGGGTTGTCGGGCCACATTGGTATTTCAGAAAATTCAAATCAATTCAGTATATTTATATAGCATCAATTCACAATGAACGTTGTCTTGAGGATGTTTATCAAAAACAGTCATTTTAATTCAATCACATATTCAATTTATTCTGGTTCTGAGTCAGTTGATAAAGCTTTGTTTATTCTAGAAATTCATCTAAAAGGTTTTCTATCTCAGGCAGGTGTTTAAAAGATATGCCCAAACCTCAGCTATTAGGTAAATTGCTTCTTACCATAACCGAAGACAAATTCTGGGCTCAGAAAAAATAAATTGAAGATAAAAATGTTGAAGTTTAGGCGTGACATCTTAGAAGTGCTGTCTTCTTCTTCTGTAGCAAAGCATAAACACGTTATACCTCTACAGACACTCAGCTATGATCATTCAGTGATGGATTGTTAGAGGTAGACTGTAAAGTGTTTGCTCGCATCGCGATGCACGGTGGTATCTTTGGTTTCTGTGGGTGACTCTTTTTCCTGTCTTGTCATACTGTTTTCATCCCCAGCAAGAACGTTAGATCGCTGAGAGAGTGAGGAAGTTTTGCAGTGACAGCATGTGAATCTTGCAAACTTTGCTTCAAATGTTCAGAAAGCTCCATTTTCAGTGTATTGTTGCTGTGGCACTAAACAGGTAAAATCTACCAAACTAGCAGGCTGGTTGATAAAAATAAACAAACTTGAAATAACTGTCTTTTTGTGTCAGCTATGATTATCTACAATAATTATCGACAAATGCAGTCAAAAGATAATCTTGTGCTGCAAATTGAACTACCACAGGTTTATAATTGCACCTCCTGCATAATTTGCCAAATCTCATGGTCACTTTATGTAACCTCAAACAAGAAAATGAATACCTTAGTCTTTCTTTTTACATTCAATTAAAATACAAGTTGACAAAAATAAAACAGATAAGAACAATTTGCTGTATTTGTGAATGGCTTCGAAGTGAGCTGCCCTGTTGGCAAAAAACTAAAATTAAGGATGCACTTTTAAGTTCATTTCTTAGAATAAAACAAAAACATCATAGGTTGTTGTAAAGATAGAATACTAACTCATAACCAGCCTTCAAGCTGAACTTTCTGAGCACAATTTGAAACTCAAATTATCCTTATCTTCCCAGTTTACATTGAAGGCCATGTGTTTGTACTTCATTATTCTGTATTTTTATCACAAAATGTCCTGTGCACCATATGACTTTATATGATGATTAACCAAGCTGCCCTCACACGAACCGGGTTGTCATCAGAAACCTGAGTAACTAGAGACTATTCACAGTTAAACCAACAACGCCCAAAAATAGAATGCGAAAACTCTTGTAATACAATATATTTGTTGAGTGCAGCACAAGTGTATTATATGAACTCACTAAAATGCTTAAGAAACTTTTGATACTAGTTGTATTAATATTAAGTTTTAAATTTTTCGTGAGGTTTAGGAGGTGAATATACTGGTTTTGTTTGTTTGTTAGCGCTTCACCAAGGCCGGCTAACCAGGGTATCTGACAGAGGACAGAGTCACTTTAAAGTAACCGACCTAATTCAATAGAACTCCAGCTAACTTGTGCTATCAGTTTCACAATAACTGGAATGGAGATCAGCAGAGCGTAATGAATGTGTCTTCAGTGATTGTAATATAAATAATATAAATTGTTTCTGGGAGGGTCATTCACTGGTTCATTAGTATTCTTGGCTACCATCACAGCATGAAGACTAAAGAACACTCCAACCAATTAGATTAAAGGATATTTAAAACCATTCGTCAGGGGATGGATAAAAAATATCTCCAAGGGTGTTTTACACCCAATAGATTTGGTTTGATTGGGGAACACAGTTGCAACAGCTGGTCAATTTATGAGGTTTATTTTCACACTACACTGTGTCAAACACTCCAAACCATTTGAGTAACTTGTTCACCTCCTCGACTGTGGTGGCAATGCACCAAGAAACACTGGAGGAAACAATATGAAAACCTCTAAAGAAGACACTGAGCAGTCTCTGGTCCAGTTCATATGCATTCTAACTGCACCAGACTTTACTTCTACCAAACCCAGACCAACGGTTTTAGGCACACCACATTAAGCTTTTTTGGTCCTTATGTTAGATGATACATTCACACCTCTGCAAACAAACCGGGCTTTCTAGACTAAACAGGACTGATGTGAATGCAGCCTATAGTGAACATCCCCTGGAGTTTAGTTAAGTTTTTGATGAGTCATATTTTACAAATATTGACATGTTTGGAAGCTCTTTTTCTTTCTTTTGTGTAATTTGACTTGAATTGCTATGATTAGCTGCTAAAGTGAAATTGGTGAATGGATATCAACTGGGAATTTGGAGTTTCACAAAGTTGACTTGGCAGAAAACTGTTTAAATGTTATGCTGGTGTCTTTTTATTAACTCTTAACATTCAAAGTTTGTCTTCATCTAGCACACATTAACCCTGACTCCTTAAGCATCATATGCTAATCTGAAATTACTGCATTTTCAGGCGCTTTCTTGATATCAACCCGGACCAAGGCCAGCTGTAGCAAGATCATCTCCAATAGGACAGGGAAAACTTTCAAAAGAAGTCGGTCACTGTCATCCCCCGTGTTTCAACTCTGCTGAAAAACCTCATGGACTTTGAGTGGAATTTCATAGTGAGAACTTTCTAACCAAGCTATAGATATTGTTGCCCCTCCACGCAAAAACAAACAAACAAAAAACTATACAGGCATGAATACAACTTATCCTTGAACAGGAATGTTCTTGAGAGATTTTTTTGGTTTAATGGTCAGCATAATCTTAAGACATCTCTTTTAATTAAGAGCATAAATTTTGTTAAGGCTCCCACTTTCTGTTCTTCAGATGTAATTTTGACTGTACAGGTGTAACCCACATAAAGTGGGGATAGCCTTTTGGGAAATAGAGATTGGGTAGGCGGGGTAGTCTGCCTGGCCAATGGGAAGTTTGATTCCCATGAATGTTTAGACCAATCAGAGAGCGGAATGCCACAGAGGCTCCACCTTCTTTCCCGTGTTGGCAGCGTTGATTGTGAGCTGGAGATCTGACCCTGATCAGACAGCTGAGCCAGAGTGAGAGTCTTTTGGTTTCTTTCTAATATCATTTATTGACTTTGAAGGAATTTTTTTTTGTAAATAGTTATTGTTTAAATCCAACTTATAAGTTAGAAAGAGTGATAAGTTTCAGAAAACTGAACTTCAGTTTTTCTGCTGTTAGAACCACTAAGATCAGTTGGAACTGTTGCACTTTCTGGCAGTTGATTGGCAGTTGTTTTCAGTTCAACTGAAGGTAAAGCCTATATAATAATGTATTTTTATTTTACTTAATTCATTTTCTTTAAGTTAAAACTTAAAAAATATGCATTTTACACTGTCTAGTGCCCTCCGTGTCTGGAATGAGAGTCCCTGTCTAGTTGTTTTGAACGTGCCGCACTGAGATCGGTGAGCATATTTTGTACCTTTCAATTGGTTTTGTTCTTTTATCTTGTTGTCAAATAATGATCTTTATTTGACCTACTTAGTTATTAAAACGTGAACCTTTGCTGAGTTTGTGTAAAATGTAATGTTTTATTATTGTTCTTGGAAAAGGATTTTTCGAACAGTTATGAAACATAATAAGCTAGAATGGTTTAATAATAATTCTATGTTTCTGCTGGTCTTGTCTGTTGACAGATCAGGTTTTTTTTGTTGTGTTGTTTTTGTTTTTTGCTTTTTCTTCTCTTCTCCTGGATTGTTCCTGGAGTGGATTCCCCTACTGACTGATGGCGAGCCTTCCCACCTGGACTTAGAAAGATCTGGATTTCCTCCCATGTTGAGTGAGACCTGAACCAGGATTTAATTTGATTCATTTGTCATCTAAAAGACATTAGAGCACAAACTACCAGGGTGCACCCAATAGATTTAAATTTGATATTTAGCACTTGGCCAAGTATTGTTGTTTTTATTTCATGTATTTTATTGTGTGTAATTTTACTTTCTTAATTGTATGTCTTGTCCACTTGTGAGTTTATGATTCATGTTACTAAAGCTAATTGTTTTTTTAAATTCACTCAACTGTGTATGTGTGTCATTTAAACACCCATCGTGCTCCGACAGCCGAACCTATTGGCCCATCTACCTAAAACATATTGTACCCTTCTCAACTGTGTTACAGGAGAAGCTTTGGCGAGCCAGCCAGGAGCACGAGTGTGTGTGTTTAAGTGTCAGACATCTTTCACGTATTGTTAGAACTTGCTAAGTACTTCTCAAAAAAAAAAAAAAATGGATGTGGTACTCCGGGAGTCCATCCAAATTCCCCATTCTTTGGTTGTTAGTGGCTTGACAGGGTCAGAAATAGATGAGGAAGTATCAATATTTCTCCAGAAGTATGGTTCCATTAACCGTTACATTCACTTAGATGATCCTAAATCAGGTTTCCATAAAAACATGATTATTGAGTTTGCACATGAAACTGCCATGAAGACATTGGAACCACTGTTGCCTCTTCAGCTTCCAAGCACGACTCAAGCAGGGATTGTGTATGAGTTAAAAGCTTTAGGAAGTGTCTACACCGTAGAAGCCAGAAGCAAAGCTACTAAAATGTACATGGAACAACTCTCTGAAATTACCATGCTGAGTGGAAATTCACTAGGAGAAATGTTGAAGGAGGAACTTAAAAGTCTAGTTTCATCTGTCGAAAGTTCCTTTGCCCGATCACCTCAGACTGATCCAGAATCCTCAGCTCCACAGAGTCCTATCCCACAAAAAGACTCGACCAGCAAAAGAAATATCCCATCTTCTGAAAACCCTCAGTCATTGACGGCTACAGATTCCCCGATTTTGACACCAGCAAATAATCCAAGTAAGCCTCTCAATCCTTCCATTTTTAGTAAAAACCTGATTGATCTCAACCCCCCACAGACTTTGTCATTCTCATCTGAATCCACTACTACGCCAGTAATCGATGTTAATCCACATGCAGTTCAGCAAGTGGTGGTTGAGCATGTGGTGCGCAGCAGTGATACCTCATCCCAGTTTGCTTCACCCAGTAGACTCAGAGCTTTTTCAGGCAAGAGTCCACGTCCAAACCATGAAGCAGATTATGATACATGGCGTGCAAGTGTTGAAATTCTTATCAGAGATCCATCTGTGTCAGACTTGCATTGCACACATCGTATATTAGACAGTCTTCTTCCTCCTGCTTCTGAAATGATTAAACATTTGAGCCCACAATCTAGTCCCTCAACTTATCTCAAGCTGCTTGACTCCGCCTACGGGACGGTTGAAGATGGTGACGAGCTTTATGCTAGGTTCATGAGCACGTTCCAGAATGATGGAGAGTTACCTTCTGTTTTCCTGCAGAGACTACACACAGCCTTAAGCAAAACAATGAGACGTGGTGGTGTATCCGCTCCAGAGTTTGATCAACAGCTTTTAAAGCAGTTCTGTAGAGGCTGTTGGGAGAACGCTTTAATAGCCAATCTTCAGTTAGAACAAAAGAAAGATAAACCTCCTACTTTTGCAGAATTGTTGCTCCTTCTTAGGACAAAAGAAGATAAACAGGCTGCAAAAATTACTCGAATGCGACAGCATTTCAACCATGCCAAGTCTGGCCACATCCCCAGCAAGCAGCGTGCCATGTCACAAGTTCATCTTGCATATGACAAAAATGATTTGATAAATAAGACTGATCTTGAGATGCTCAAGCAACAAATTGCTGACCTCAGCCTTCAGGTGAAGAGCATTGTGTCAGAGAGTCAAAAGTCAAAACAACTTAAGCAACAAAAGTCTGTTCCTCTAAGTGTCACACATGAAGCCCATGTGGTGAAACCAAAAACAAGCCGTCAGCATCCTTCCACAATTAAAGCAAATGGCAGACCACGTCCCTGGTACTGTTTCCAGTGTGGAGAGGATGGCCATGTTGTTTCAGTCTGTGAAAATGCACCAAATCCTTCCCTTGTAGCAGCTAAGAAAAAACAGCTGAAAGAAAAGCAGGCTGCTTGGGAAGCCTCTAATGCTTCTCAAAGTGAGACACATTTAAACTAGTGTCTGCTCCCATAGAGGGACACATGGGAGCAGAGTTACAAAATTCCAGTCCCAAAACCATGAAAGCTGTTGTTAAGAGTGTTGGGGTAGAAAGGTCGAAATTGCCACATGGCCTGGTGGGAACTAAAACTACAGCTCAAGTGTCTATTGCAGGGAAAGACACAAACTGTCTGTTGGACACAGGTTCGCAAGTCACAACTGTGCCCCAGTCCTTTTATGAAGAACACCTTCTGATCTGACCATTCATTCTTTAAATGATTTGCTTGAAGTGGAGAGTGCTAATGGCCAGTTTGTTCCCTATTTAGGATATGTTGAGCTTACCATCACTTTTCCTAAAGAGTTTGTTGGCTCTGATATTGAGATTAACACTCTGGCTTTGGTTATTCCTCACCTCCGCTCTGCAGCCCATGAACAGGTGCTTATAGGCACAAACGCACTTGACGTTCTTTATGCGGATTACCAGAAACTTTCATCTTTTCAGCCTTTGATGAATGGCTATCAGGCTGTTCTCAAAATACTTGAGATACGACAAAGGGAGCTTATCCACAGCAGCCTTGGTTGTGCAGAACTAACAGGCAAGCTGCCTAAAGTTGTTCCTGCAAGGCAGACCGCTGTTGTTGAAGCTTTTGTTCCATTTAATCGTTTGAACATTCAGAGAGATGTTATTCTTGAGCAACCATCAGCTTCTTCTCTACCGAATGGTTTACTCGTTTCAGCGATTGCAGTAACTTTACCAAGCAAACACTCATGTCATATTCCTGTCATACTGAGAAATGACACCAATCATGACATAGTCATTCCCCCCAAAACCATTGTGGCAGATGTTAATGCTATAGTACAGGTGTTGCACAAAGAACATACTGTCAACGAATCAGACTATCCTAAATTTAAGCAAAGTCTTCCCCACCACTGAACTTTGATTTTGGAGATTCACCTTTATCCACTGAATGGAAAGAGCGAATAACAAAAATGTTAAACACCATGCCAAACGTTTTCTCTCAGAATGACCTGGATTTTGGCCATACTGATAAAGTGAAACACAGAATCAAGCTCAGTGATGAGACGCCTTTTAAGCAGAGAGCACGTCCGATACACCCCAATGACGTAAATGCTGTGAGACAGCATCTACAGGAACTCCTAGATTCTGTAGTCATATGGGAATCTGAGTCTCCATTTGCTTCTCCAATCGTTGTTGTTCGCAAAAAGAATGGCTCTGTTCGTCTGTGTGTAGATTACAGAAAGCTGAATATGCAGACAATCAAAGATGCCTACGCTCTTCCAAAACTGGAAGATGCTTTCACTGCACTTGCTGGTTCTAAGTGGTTCTCCGTTCTAGACCTCAAGTCAGGCTACTATCAGGTCGAAATGCAAGAAGCAGACAAGCATAAGACTGCATTTGTGTGTCCAGTTGGATTCTGGGAATTCAACAGGATGCCACAAGGAATAACAAATGCACCTTCAACCTTCCAAAGACTGATGGAAAAATGTGTTGGCGATATGAACCTAAAAGAAGTTTTAGTGTTCATTGATGACTTGATTATTTTCTCAGCCTCCCTGGAAGAACATGAACAGCGCTTGCAGCGTGTTCTTGAACGATTGATGACATATGGTTTGAAACTGGCACCAGAGAAGTGCAAATTTTTTCAAACGTCAGTAAAATACCTTGGTCACATTGTTTCTGAGAGAGGAGTTGAAACAGACCCTGAAAAAGTTTCGGCCTTACAGACTTGGCCGATCCCCACAAATCTTAAACAGCTTCAATCTTTCTTAGGATTTGCTGGATACTACCGACGGTTCATTCAGGGGTACTCTACTATTGTAAAGCCACTTAATGAATTAACGTCTGGTTATCCACCACTCAGAAAGCTAAATAAGAGACAGAAAATAAATTCGAGCTCAGAGTATCGCAACCCAAAGGAGTCCTTTGGTGAGCGGTGGACACCTCAATGTCAGAAAGCTTTCGATGACATAATAAGTAAGCTAACATCAGCTCCAGTCTTGGGTTTTGCAGACCCCCAGCTTCCGTATGTTTACATACAGATGCCAGCACTGTTGGCCTTGGGGCTGCATTATATCAGGTTCAAGATGGTCAATCTCGAGTCATAGCTTTTGCGAGTCGAGGACTTTCAAAGAGCGAGAGGCACCAGAGGAAGTATTCGACTCTAGACTGCTTTAATCTGTCAATGTAAATTATTGTAGCCTATACTGATGCTACCAAGACAAGCTACTGGATGTGTTTTACTGAAGTAGACTGAATGTAACTCGTTCACATTTCTGCCAGGCCCCTGCCCACTGCATGAATCACACACTGTTCACCACAGTGCTTCATAACATGCTTAAACTCATAGCTCAGCATCACACACAATTGTATATTCTGCTAGATAAAGGGTGTTATTCCACATCCTGTTTTTCTTGTGCGTGCGTGTGTGTAAGTGTTCGTGTGTGAGAAACCACTGGCAGTGTCATCAGAAACATAAATTCCATTCTAGCAGTTTTATCTGATTGTTTTTCACAAATTAGCTCTTTTTCTTAAAAACACCAGCATGGTTATATCTTCCATCAGTCCCAACGTTTCATTTTTTTTGCCATCAGAGAAATATTCTGCTAACAAAAAGCCTGAATTCAGCAAAATCCCCCACAGACAGATGGACGGCTAACTGCTTTGTGTTTAAACTGCACTATAACCTTGCACTGTCACATCATCTGCACTTTACCATAATTGGACCTGCTGCTTCTTCTTGGTGTGGTTGAGTGCCTTTAGTTAATTTTAGTTGTATATATTATTATTATTATTATTGTGTGTTTGTTTATTTAATATTGTATATTTTGACTTTTTGCACGGGAGTTGCAATAGAAATTTCGTTGAATCCTGTTCAATGACAATAAATGCTATTCTTCTTCTTCTTCTTCTTCTTAATTTGAAAATATATCAAAATGTAAAAAAAGACTTATGTTACTCTAATAGATTTTGGGGTAATTTAATGTGTGAAGTTTGAACTGACACATAAAATGTGAGCAAATTCAGAACTTTGATCATTGATTTGATCGTATCAAATGCTCTCTTGTTTTGATAACAGTCAGATGATTGTGGGTTTGATATTAAGTCTGAATAACTGTATGAATGAAGCTTTGGTGAGTCTGTAGTTTTAGTTTACGTAATATTTTTTACTAACCTTTGTTATGGTTTGTACGGAAGAGTAGGGCCCAAAAAAAAAATGTCAGAATTTTTTTTTTTCTCAGTGGCTCAGAAAAGGTTAAAAAAGAAGAAAAAAAAAATTAGTGGCCCAGAAAAAAAAAAAAAAAAAAAAAAAATTATCAGTGGCACAGAAAAAACAAAACAAAAAAAAAACTCAATGACCCAGAAAAAAAAATAAAAAATCAGTAGCACAGAAAAAATAAAAGTTAGAATTGTTGGGCGCCAGCAGCAGCCTTTTATTTCTTCCATTAGTGCAATGGACGCTTCTGGTATTCTTCTGGCACGTAAAAAGTTGCTTAAATCAGACATTTTCTCTAGAACATCGGCTGTCTGCCACAGCTGGCATCTGTGTGGTTGCTGCTGGTGCCCATCAATCAGAATTCTGACTTTTTTTTTTTTCCAGTGCCCCTAATCCTCTTCTGTAGTTTTGCCACATAAATTCCCAGTAAAATTGGGGCATGCTGTGGTGGTGCAGGGGTTAGCACACCCCACCCTCGCCGCATGTCTTCCCCCATTTCCTGTCTGCCTACTGTCGAAAATACGAGCCACTAGTGCTGCAAAAGCTCTTCGGAGACAAAAAAATATTTAAAAAAATACATTCCCAATAAAAATAATAAAGAATTTTTTTTTGTAACATGACGATGTGGAGACCTTCAGGAAAATAAATAATATTTGTGCACAGGAGAATATGTCTATAAATAATGCAGCTCCATGGATGTAAAACTAAGGCATGTATGAGATGAATCTGTAAGGTCTTGAGATCATTTTACAACATTGTTTTCATTTTGTAGATGATTATGAATGGGCTCCTGGCCTGACAGACGTTTAGGACAGTGATGGCTCTCCAACATATTATTACATGCACAGTTCCTGTTTTCTGGGCTATCTGTTTCTGCAGACTGCTGGGTACAGTGAATCTTAGCCAACTCCTTTTTGACCATGCAATGCAATCAAATGACCTTTGAAAATCATACAATTTCAAATTGCTATAAGTTTTGGTTCAATCAAATAATTCTGTCGGCTTCGCTCCTCAGATGTTGACCCAGCTGTGAATAAACATTCATTTCTGCAAAGATTGCTTACTGAGAAAACAAGTGCACAGTTACCACAAAAAAAAAAACACACACACAAATGAACCACAAGCTCAGACACATTGTGATCTCATAATTCAGCAGCTAATTATGAGATCACATTTTTTGCATACTGAATATGATTTTAGACCAATCACTTATTTTTCAGCCAAATTCACCAGTGATGTGTTTACAGCACTAAAACCTAAAACCAAACCAGCCTGTGTATGCAGATCTCACAGTTTTCCTTGGTTTATGTTTTCAATCTGAGAAAATGTTTCATACAGTTTGCTGCCCTAACAATAGTTTTATAACAATCAAGCACAAAACAGTTATAATTTGTAAAATAAGTAATAGAGTCCTTGTTAAATCTGGAATTTAACTGGTTTTGTTTTTGTGTTTATTTTCTTTAGCCACCCCTTAACTTGATTATCACCAAACATATAGAATCACAAACACAATTAACTGAAAATCTGTCTCATAAACTAAAATAGGCTAAGAGCAACACGCCATGCCTTTTTCACATCAGTCAGTCTAGAAAAAGGCCTTAAGTCATGTCTTAGATTTCAAGACTGCAGTAAAGTTCAGTGAAAGTCGTTATGCATAAATAAAGAAAACACAAAGATACTCTTGAATTTTTAAAACTTAGACTTTGATCTATAATCTGAACAGAAACACAGAGCTAATAAAGAATAAATAAAGCTAATAAAGAGCTAAATGAACCATCTGCTACCTTTTGTGACTTATGATCAACATAATTTACAAAAAAACCCTTTAATATCAATATTTATATTTTGTAGAAATTCATTTCTACAAAATAACGTCTAATAATAAAAATGTCATAAAATAATATTATTTTAATGCATTAATATTCACTTCTTCCTGTAAGTATGTAGTATTTCGCAGACAGGCTGTCATTTTCCTCCTTGCTTTGAGTGACTTTATGTGCTCTACTGACATCTGCTGGACAAAAAGTATCCTGCCTCATGCTAAGGTCTGAGGTTCCATCCATCCATCCATTTTCTGAGCACCCTTCTCCCTAACGGGGTCGGGAGGTGCTGGTCCCTATCTCCAGCTGCGTTCCGGGCGAGAGGCGGGGTACACCCTGGACAGGTCGCCAGTCTGTCGCAGGGAAGGCCTGAGGTTTTGGTTCTCCTAAGTTTCTCTGTGTGCTGCTGGAGGACAAACTGACCCCTTTTCCTCAATTTGCAACTTTCTTCTTTTACTATTCTTAAATTTGTATTAAATATTTTGTGTGCTCAGTAAATGTTTAAGTTAGAGATAAATGTTTATTTTCTGAACTTAATATTTAGCTAAATATCTGAATTCAAACAAAAAATTTTGCTTGCTCACTGTTATTCAGTCAATACACTAACTATAAATATTTAGTCAGTAAACTATTTATCTCGCTAACTAAATATGAAGGTTGGAGATACATATTTAGTTTCTATGATATTATATTCAGCTTTGAACATGTAACTTGTAGTTAATTAAGTGCACATTTTGTCTTGCTAACTGAACATGAAATTAATAAATTAAATATTCAGGCTGTTAACTAAATATTTTTTTGGTTGACTTGATTTGAAACTGTGACATTCATAAATGAACAAATAACATGCAAAAAATGTATCAGTCAAACTTATAAAATCACAAACACCAATAACTATACTTGTGTTTCTGATGTTATAAGTTGTCAAGTTCACAAAACCAGTTATTTCCAGATTCAACAATGGCTCTATTGTTTATTATACCAGTTATGATAGTTTTGTGCTTGATTGGTGGGAAACATTGTTTGAAAATCAGGTTTTATGCCAGTTTTTACTAATGACAGTGTTGCCAGTGTAAAATTACCAACAGTCTGCTATACAGTTTAGCAAAGGACAAAGAAAAGATAACATGCGTAACAACATTGCAAACAGATTCATTTTGGCTCAGTGTAAAGCAATCCCCTCCAACTACATTTAGAAAATGAGGCTTCAGAACATTTTACTACGTGACACAAAACTCTATTTTAATTCTATATGTAACAACATGTAAAATATACAGGAAAAACAAAAAACAATAAAATGGAGAAAGCCATAATGATGCTGAACATTGCAACAAAGCAGCTTGAACAAAAAGGCTTTACTCACATCAACAGTTTGTATACAGTACCAGCGGTACTAGCCTTCTCACCTCAATACAGGTGCTTCAGCAACTCAAGTCAAATAAACTTAACTGAATCAAAGCCACAGCTTTAACACAATGTGTGTGTTTACGAGAACGTAAACATTAATTTTGCACTGGAGAAGTACAAAAGCACAGACAGCGAAATAATCACTATCATTTGGAAGATTTCTATGCCATGGTTCCACATGAAAATGGTACAGTATCCACTTTGTGAAGCAAAACGTTCGGCGGCATCCTGATAGGTTCCCTTCTGCCTCGCTCACACTGGAGAGTCTGCAGATCAAAGCACAGATATTATACAGACGTCTCTGTAGGAACACTTTTTTTGTTATGGTTTTGTTTTATTGGGTTTTATTTCATTGTTCTGCTTTGGCTTGAAATGTTTACAGTAGAGATGCACTAAAGAACTGGCTAATGAACAGAGTCAGTTTTTATATTCTAATCTGCAGTCTCACATCTGTAGTTTGATGTGTAATCTTAAAGCTACAGTCTGTCCTGTACAGCAGATAGGATGAAATCATGTTTAGTCAGGTTTGGTTCTCTGAAAGAGAGCCACATCAATAAACTTTTGGTGAAAATAGTTACAATACTTATGGATGGTAAAAAAATCTTTTGATTGATGTGTGCAATAATTAGAGTTGGTTAAAATGTGTTCAGAAACTCAGAAATGGAACATGAAATTAAAAAAGCAATGAAGACACAAACACAAAATCAAAATTTTGTAAATTCTGATATTGTCCATAATTTATTAATTTCTTCATTTATTTATGTAATTTTTTTGTTTTTGTTTTTGGGGGTTGCATTTATGCTTCTGCTTTAGGAGTGCAGTCGGTAAGTTAAGTTTGGACACCAGTAAAGCAGAATAAACACATTTCACAACAAAATGTACAGTAATAAAATAAAGAACATATTTGTGGATATTTCTATTGAACATAACTCTGAATTATTTGTTGAGTGTATCCAAAATATGTATAAAAAGTGTAGCTTAGAAAGCTGAAATATCCAGGAACAGTGATATTAGACTCATTATTGGCTGGTGTTGGCAAAGCCATCCAAGATGGCTGCTTAGTTTTCTTGGTGCTAATTGGCTGAACCGTCAGTCAGAGCAGAGATAATAATTATATTCCAGCTGCTGCTGTTGCGTTGTGATGCTTCCCACAGTGCATATTAATGCATATTAATGTGTATTTTGTGTTGAACTAGGCAGTTATAAACATTTTCTGACGGCATCTGAGCTGTAGCTGCTTTTGGATGGTTGTGGTCTCTAATCCGGCGGTCAATGAAGAAGTTCTCAACACCTGAGAAAACTCTCCATACTCCTACCTGCAAAGTGATGATGATGATGAGGACACAGATGATGGCTATCACAAGAACTACCACAGTAACGCTGACTGCTGTTTTTGTCTCATTGCTCTTCTCTTCCTCCCCCTCCTCCTCACTCTGCTGTCTCTGGGGACCCGGGTCTGGGCAGGGGGAGTCCTCTGTGGATGAAACAACAGGGTGAAGGGCTGAAGGGAAACCTTTCAGTCAGCAGGTGAAACTGACTTTAAGGTCACCTACCCAGGACATGAAGAAGTGTGCCATTGCCTGTAAGTTGCTGGTAGGGCGGTGGGTAGAAGACCTGGATGGCACAGCGATAGATATCTGTGTGTGTGGCTTTCAGTCCGGATAGTGTCACCACCACAGTGCCATCTTTCATCTGAATCTCACACTGTCCCTGAAACAGACATTAAACAAGGATTCATCAAACCTTTCGGCACTTTTACATGATTCTTTGACCATTTAACTTTTTTCATGATTGCTTTTATCCAACTGATTTTGCTCAGAGCAAACTTCCAGCAGCTTTAAAAAGAACTTTTAAAAAAACGTAAAAAAAAAAAAATCTGTTGTTTTCATATTTTTTTAAAACAGCCATCATGTTGTGACAGAATGATATGAGACAAGAAATATGTCTCTTGTAATGCACCACTCAGAAACAACCAATCAGAGCCAGGAGGAGGGGTTTAGCACTGTCAATCAAGCTTATCAACTGAGAGCTGAGGTATCCTTGGTGTTAATGGAGGAGAAACAACTTACCATTCCAGAAAACCTATTTTATCCTCTGTCATCAGTAGGCAGGCTGTGTGGCAGGCTATGGCTTAGCAAAGAGTAAGGGGGAGAGGCTGAGCATGAGAGTGACTGACAGTGCTAAGACCCTCCTTCTGGCTGTGATTGGTTGTTTCTGAATGAGTGGTGTATTTCTGCAGTTAGTACTGAGAGAAAGCAGAGGAAAAGTATACTGAATGTATACTTTGTTAGTTATCACTAACTAATTATTTGTTAGCAATACTTTTAACAAATATGTAAAAAAAAAACATGTTTTGTATAAAAAGTACATAATAATTTAACAATAGGATCATTTCAGTTTGTTGAACATAAAACATCGTACAGCACACTGATCGAGCCTTCTTTCATTTTACACTGATTCACTTCCTCATTGACAGCAGCATCAGATTATGAAGTTCAACATTCACACCAAACAGAGAGAACCTGAATAACAGCGCCCTCTATCAGCAGCCTTACCTCTTTGTTTTTCTCCTGCTGCATCTCCTTCTTATGCTCTGAGGTACTGAGGGTGGAGGAGCAGATTTTCTGGTTGCCATGGAGACCTCTAAGCAGAGCCACCTGCAGGTCTTCCAGGTTGGAAAAGAGATTCTCCAGAGGCTGGCCGGGTCGAAGGTGGGAGGCGGCAGTTCTGGAGTGGATGATGCAGTGGATCTGTGCAGTTCCGTTGGTGCTCATTACTCTGTAGGGCTGCGTCACCTTCACAGCTGGCACAAAGAAAAGGTAAAAAAGAAATGAAGTAACAACATTTTGGGTTGTTCACCTGTAGTCTTACAGGTGAAGAAGGAAACCAGTTGATCAAAACACACGAACTGTTTCAAAGTTCAGTTTGGTTCCAAGACATTGCAGCAGAGAAATACTGAAACTTTAGAGAAAATCAACCGTTTTTGATTTACTGTGTTGGGTGACTAATTACTTTCGTAAATCTCACAGCAAGTCTTAGATTTAGAGCCACAGACAGATAGTTTCCTTCTAGTCCAAGTCTGTGGGAAAAACTTGTCAAGTTATTTTCAGAGGTCACATATGAACAAGATATAAGTCTGATGAAACTCAAAAATATCTTGGATACATTCGAGCTTATCTCATAACTGAACTACTTATATTTATCAGCAATGAACAGTCCTGCAGTGAACTTCCACTCTGTTACACAATGTAATCTAATACAGAGAAATTAGTCTTCATATATATATATATATATATATATATATATATATATATATATATATATATATATATATATATATATATATATATATATATATATATATATATATATATATATATATATATATATATATATATATGGCTCATCAGCAACCCATCTCATTTCTATAGTTTTTCATATTACTGAGTTTGACACAAAGGTCTCATTGATTTTCCCACTGTTTTTGTTTATGTTTTAAATGGATCTGCATTAACCTAGACATTAGCAACATATTCAAAATTAGACTGTTATATACCAGAATAGTGTTGATAAAAGTTACCTATTTTCTCCTTTTGAAAATAGTGTTATAATATACTATCTGGTAGAGGTTTAATATTAGATACCGTGTAATTACTGCAGTTATTGTTTTAGCTGTTTCTTACCAGATCTGAACAAATATCCTCCCTGTACAGAAACATCCAAATATTTTAAAGTGTTTTCTCAATCTATCACTCTATTGGTTAAAACCGGGTTATACTCACAGCTCCACACAGGCACACTGATGCTGAGCACTGCCAACACATTCCATCCCATCATACTATGAGTCAGGAACATCCTACAGGGTTTCACAAAATGTTGCAGAAATGTTTAAGTCAACAATAATAAAAGTGTGGTGAGCCCACTCCCCAGCTAACCTGATGACCAAATTTTATGAAAATACATCTGAACCAGATGAATTCACCTTTATAGTCTTTCTCAGCCGTCATGGAAACAGTGTGGCAGAACAGGAAATGATGACAGCAATTTGCCAGTAAAGTCAGACAACTTTTAGTGGCTGTGGTTCTATAGGAACGCAGACAAGAACAAATTTCTGTAATTTTCATGAAGCGGTTGCTGTCAGTAGATGATCAGATTTTTGAAAAATATGCAGAGTTTAAATAAATTTCATACAAGAAGAAACAAGAAGATAAAGACAGGAAAATATAGAGTTGAATATAAATTCTCTCAAAGTGCAAAAGTAACAAGTGTCTTCTGGTTGTACGGGAAATATGCAAATCAAGATGAGTGTGAAACTTATATTCAGCGCTTCTGCACCATAACTTGTGATCGTCTCCTGCACACTCTGCATGGCTCACACTCATCATTTGCTGCTTCTTTCATCCCTGTTCAGGTTTTACGTTCACAACTTCCTAAAACACAACTCAAAGTTTGTGATATACATTTTGAACCAAATTCAGAACTTTTGAGACATGGCTGTTGAGTGGAAACCAATGAACACAAGTCACATGATCATGTGGAAACTTTTACTGGCTGAATACTTAGAAATTTTGTGGTTTCTGAATTTTCCTTAAGCAAAAAAACAAAACAAACAAAAAAAGATGTTAAAGCAAGCAGTTTTCAGCACTAATGTTTTTTCATTGTTTAAAGTGGGTGTGCCTCTGTCTAAATATGGGTCTTTTTATATAAATTTTTACCTTTATATTTATTTTTCTTACTAGCTTTTGTAGCCCATGGTTCCAAAAGTTACAGATTTCAAGTCAATGTTTTCTGCTTGCTTGAGATGCAGAGTTATTTTGTGCTGAGTGGGATGTACAGTGAAAACTTAAAAAGTAACTTGAAATTTCAAAGACATACTGGACAGAGAGCTATTGTTTCACTGAGATCTTGTCTTTTCTGAAGATGAGCTCCTTCAAAAACTGTTCTACTTAACAGGCAAAAGAAAAACATTGTAATATCTGCAGGAAAAGTGAGCCTGGGACACATTTTATAGCAGAACATCATTAGACAGAACAGAAAATCTTGTTTGATTCCAGCAGATATGTGTATATTACTTGTTTTTTTTAACATCATCTGGTGTGAGTTTGACAACAGAAATATAAGAAACATATTAATTAAGAAAACTATTTAAATCTTCAGTATTTATTTAGTCAATTCCCAATAGATGTCGTCTCTAGACAACTCACAGGACTAACAGGACCGATTCATATCCTGAAACAAAGAACTGAATCAGTTTAATACAATTCAAATTGGCAAACATACATTGATCATTAATCCTTATTCTAATATACTGAGGTTCTAATTCGGTTTATGATCACAGTTGGTAAAATATTATTTATGTGTTGAAGAAAAGTCAATTGCATCGGGTAACTCTTAACCAAACATGTGGCGACAGTGGGAAGAACCAACTCAGCAGGAAGACTTTCTATACTAAAAAGAAGAATTCTGAGACTTAACAACAAAGGTAGCTGTGTTACTGGCTACATCTAGCAGAAGACAAGGCAAGTACAATCTACAGAAATTATTGGCAACAATAGTTTCTGCCTGACTGATTTGTTTCTAGAAGGTGACATTGTAAAACAAAACTCCAGTCAGGAGCTTCTAAAGAGACATAGACACAGAGACAAGATAGAGCAAAAGGCACCAATATCTGCAGATAGAGCATAAATGGTGAGCAGCAGGAGAATGTAACTGTATGAGTAAACTTCCTATAGCAGCCTCAGGTCAGCATAACCTAAGAGTCGTCTTCCTAAAACAAAGTAATTTTCTGCCAGAAGTAATTTTGGCTAAATAAATAAATAAAGACATGAATAAATGAATAATCTCCACCTCTCTCTTTCCAAAAGATATTTTGAAGAAAAATATCACTTTTTGCCAAAAAAAAAAAAAAGACGATTGGACATTGTTTTAGAAAGGTGACAGTAGAAATGCAGAAAAATTTGCAGAAGCAACAGAAACCCAAAGAGGGAGAGGATTCAAGAGGACATGCACTACTCTATCCATTCACTATAAAATTATGTACATTCCAATTACAAAAATTAATTTGCTTATTGGAAACATGCCAATTTTGAAAAAAAAAAAAAACAATTCAAATTTGTTGTATGTTTTAGCATTAGGATGAGGTGGATCTTCATTGGTATCAAACTTTGTGCATTTCTTAAGACTGCAATGGAAATTTTTGCATCACACAAGTCGTGTGATCAACAACCACATGTTACTACTAGCAAAAACACAAAGAAGACGACAAGAAGTGGTAGGAGGATGACGGCACATTATGTTTTTAATAACATATCAAGTGAACAAACCATTTCATGTTTGAGTTTAATAGAAACACTGCAGTTACGAAATTCAGTTTTTTCGACATTAGTGGAATATCATTTACAATGGAAATGCAGCTAGTGTCCCATTCCAAGAGAAAACAAGTCAACTGTTGCTGAGAGGCTCTAAGTTGTCTTTTCATATAGCATTTCATTTGAAAAGTCAAATTTCCACAGTCAGAGATGATTTGAGATGCTAAGCTGTTGATGGTTCATTATGTTTTATTAGGGCATCAACCAGGAAACCTGACGAGTTCTATGCTGATTTAATTATGCAGCAGGATGTGGCACCTGCCGATACTGCCAAACACAACAATACCTGATTTAATCACCAGGGTGTTACACGGCTGGATTCCCCTCACTGATCTGACCCCAACCCAACAGACCGTCTGTGGGCCGATGTCAAAGCCAAAGCCAACGTTCCAGGTTTCCTTGAAACCTCAGCCGGGTAATCATCTGCATGCTGCGCAGCCCTGATGCAGCACTGATGCATTACTGGTTCAGTATTTCATGCCAAAGCAGTGCTGACTACGCCCTGAGTGCATACTGTGCATTCTGCATGGTACATGGAACTTTCAGTAGGCCAACATTTCTGTCTTGATATTTTTTTGTTTGTTTTCTAAGAAACTGAATTTGGGGTTTTGGTTCACTGTAAACGATGATGTTTTTGTTTTTGTCTGAGTAGAATTATTATTATTTTTTTTTTAAATCTGCCCTTCCTTATGGAATACACCAAACTATAACCGCTGGTGTCTAGTGGAAACACTGTTCCAGTGTTTGGGTTGTTGACTTGCAGTACAGTACAGGTTTTATGCTGTGAAATGTTTAAAATCTTCCATGTCTTCTGATTTATAGTCAGGTCTCAGCTCTAATATAACTTACAAATTATTTGCAGATCTTTCTTCTCGTCTTCCTTAGAAAAATCTGTCTCAGAGTTTTGGGATATTTAGTATCTTGAATGTTTTAGTAGTACTGCAAGTCAAAAAACACACCGATAATCAGGATATGCTTTAGATATACAATTTCAGATTTTACATATTTGACTCAAAATGGAGCAGACTTCATCTTAAGACATGTCTTGTAATTCAGAAAATTAAGACCTGATTGCCATGAATTCTAGCGAGGTCAACCAGTTGTGAATATGATTTGTGATCTCAACTTTCTCCAAAGAGTTTTGTCAGTTTTTCTCCAATTTAGGAGAACAACTGACATAACTGTATAAATGGCAGCCCAAGCATATTGGGCATAAAAAGTGCCACAAGCTGTAATTTTGGCTAATTGCATTTTATATAGTATATGCTACTTCACATTTTAAAGATAAAACAACATATTAAAAAAAAAATTTGGCTTTATCTTCAGACTGCACAAAATTAGTTTTTTATACCAGATATTCTGGTCATAATTACATTTTAGCCCATAGAATTACATTCAACATGCTTGTGCTGTGTACAAAATTATCCATCAACTTACATCACCTCCTTTTTCAACATTTTCAAACTAAAGTGTAACGGTGGCTCCAGCAGAGCCACAAGCAGAGGAGGCTGTAAGGTGCCCTTCAGCTGCACCGCCTCTGGACTGATGAACTATATTAGAAAAAGTGAATATGCGTGGGCTGCCATTTATACAGTTATGTAGAAAAAAAATCAACAGTACAAAATGTAGGTTAGTGGTCCACTTTTTGAAGTAGTATTTTCACCATTGTTATTTGTTAATTTAACTTCACAGTTATGAAGTAAATACTTAATTCAACAACATATCTAATTATTTAGTTTGGTGCCAGTTAGTTCAATAAAAGGTGCCAGACTTTGACATAAATTTCTTGGTTTCATTTTGTTTGAGAACAAACTTTTCTTTTACAGACATAAAAAGTGCCACAGTTTGGGTCTCTGTATGGGGTTGTTCCATTATTAAACAAATGGGTTCATCAGGAATAAATAAATCAAGCCTCAATATTTCACTTTTTACAATTTTTTAAAACAAATCTCTTAAAATCAAACAAAAGTAATAGATCTTAGTGGGTATTTTTTTTATACCTACCAGTGCAAAATAGAGCCCTAGACATGAACTGCATCTCTTGATGCTTCAGATGTAACATTACCTATTTATATCTGAAGCCTTTCATTTGATTATACTTCTATTATTCGATTACTATTAATAATAGTAATAGAATCTATTACTATTAATAATAGTAATAGAATACTTTTCTTTAGTCCATCCAATTGATGCTATATTGGGTTTTTTTTCTTTAGGACTTAATTTATTTCAAATGTCAGTGATTTTTAAGAACTGATCTGTATTTTAAATGCTTTATTTGCTGTTTCTCTTTATTTGAATTGGTGTTCTATTTAAGGAAATTGATTCTAAAATTGTAGCCCACATATATCAATGTATTAGTTTTAAGATTTATGGGTTTTGTGTGCAATTTCAAATTATATTAGTTCTAATAAACACAAGAATTTTGAGTTTTTCTTAACTTTAAGCTACAATCATCAAAATGAACAGTATCACTCTATTTGTGTTAAATCTACTGGAAATAAACTTTTTCAAATGAGTTTATCCAATAAATAAACTTGTAAA